TCCAGCAGCACGCCAGACTTGCTCGAACTCTAGCTCCAGATAATCACACCAATTGACCCAGCCGGGATGGATTTTGATTTTTGGGGACCAAGGCCAACTACGTTGGCTCTGAACGCTCTGGCAGTAGCCAGGATTGACGAATTGGTGATGAGGACTTGGGGGATGACATACCGGAACATATTGGAAGAGCGCGGGTGGAGCAGCATCGAAACCCGGACCTAAACTGTAGGATCGAATTTCTTCATTGACCGGAGCCATGGTGTCCGGGTAATTAGGCACCAGCGATGGGGCCTCAGCTTCACGGATAGCCCGTTTCTTGGCGAGTACAACAGAGTAATCCCTTGCAGCGACCATGGAAGCGATGAACAGAAGGTCACCGGAAAAAGGGGCAGTGAGTTTGAGAAAGAAAAGAGGAAAAAGAGATTGGGGGAATCGATGAGAATGAAGGTGTTTTGAGAAAAAGGGGAACAACGTATTAATAGCATCTCGGGGAAAGTATTAACAGACTGATATTCCCAAATCAATAGGGTATTTGAATAACATTGAAATCTCACTTCTCCGGGGATTCAGATATTAGCCATTATAGAGGAGATGTGTTTCAGTAAGTGAAGGATTCTATATTTGAATTTTGTCCAGGAAGGTTAGAAAACTTATTCAGTACATTTCACAATTTTTCTCGGGGGCATTATGTTGGGCCAGTTTTTTCCGATTTGGCTTTGGAAGATTTGGAGAGAAGGTGGACTGGATCAGATGAAGCAGGAGGTCACGGATCAGGCTTCTAGAAGGCCCAAAGCCCAATTTGGGAGAAAGAATGGATCAGATGAAGTAGGAGGTCGCGGATCAGGCTTCTAGAAGGCCCAAAGCCCGATTTGGGAGAAAGAAGCCTAGTTGTTATTGGGTTAGAATTGTGAACCGATTGGTACTTAAGCACTATTTAAAGGAATCAGCGGTAGGAGGAAACACACAATCAAATTAGCATCAAATTGCTTCTTTAAATTTTCAGTCTTTTATTTCTCATTTTATCTGTAAAATTAGGGTTCTTCAAGAACTCTCTAGACTAGGCTGATCATCGGCGGCTGTACTTGATCGTTTAATAATTTAATAAAGTCTGGCCTACGGCCGATTCTTACTGTTCCGAAATTCTTACTTTCAGTTTGCTTAGCACAAGTTATAAAGAACAATGCACAATCGTTTGATTAGATATATTGCATGATTTTTCCAGGACAAAAATTGTGCAAACAGAAACTGTATATTTATCAAACTTGTAGCCATTGTAACAAGGAAACAGATCAAACGAAATATCAAGCCAATAATTGAGGGGTTTTAATAGTTTCATTATCACATTTTCATCAAAACGCGTATTTGTATCAATTTATTTTTTTCTTTAAATTTAGGTTCTATGTCCATCTTGACACCAATTTTATTGTTGAAGTTATAGCATTTTCGAATCCATCTTTTTTGTATTTTTCAAAAAAAAAAAAAGTAATGAGACCTTTTAATTAGTTTATAAAATAAAGAAAGTTATATATGAATGTTGAGTCAATTTTTTTTTTTAACAATTGGTCAATATTTATTTAAATTTTTCCAATATATATACAATATATACATATATACATAGATACACCTAAACACACACACACACACACACACACATATACAAACAAACGGAGAGTCTTCCAATTCTGAGCCCCTAGTCGATGACCTATTTTGACTAATAGGAGAGCCACCCCTGTCTAGTGGTGTGAAGAGAAGGTAGTGCCTGTTAGATTTAAAAAAATAAAATAAAATGTTAGAATAAAATAAAAACGTAATTATAGAGATTATCAAGTATAAGCAGCAATAGTAGTACCAATAAGCTATTGGCTCAAACAACAATGCTTCATTGTTGAAATTCTCTCTCGCTTGATTGTATTCTCTTATGGCTGCGTCAAGGGCAAGAATTGCAGCGTCAAGCTCCAGTTGATGATTCTGATTGATCAAACCGCCAGTGTATTTTCCTTCATTCATCAGAATCACCCCAGAAATAAGAACTTGACATTGACTGCAAATCATCCAAAATATAATCAGGCAACATGAAACAAGACATTACATATGATGGGATGGCTTGGATCACCGATTGGATGAGTATCTCCTTTCCAGCTCTAGACAGCGTTTTCAGATTCCTGCTTTGAAGCTTTTGCAACACTCAATCTTTGATGCTGGAGAAAACTTCAAATTTGCTTTTACCAATCACTGAAGGAAGTACTAAGTACTTGCCATGTCCATCAACTTGTGGAATACCAAGTATGTCACACATATCAACCCTTGTTTGAACGACTGTATTGGAGCTGGAAAAAATTCCAGATTTCTCGAAGTTTATCCGTTGGCCTGATACTCTTTCGTATAGCTGAATGGCGCATTGAAGATATCCAGCCTCCTCCTCTGTAGCATCACCAAATATTAAGGTGTCATCAACAAAGAAAAGATGTGATATTTTTTCGGAGCATCCCAGAATACACCAATTCCATGTATTCGACCACATCTTTAAAGATCCTGTAGCAAACATGAGAAAACTTCCGAACAAATAATGAAAAGGTAGGGTGAGAGAGGATCGCCTTGACGAATACCTCTCTATGGGGAAAGATTTTCAAATTGTTGACCATTTAGGATGAAAGAAAAACGGACAGAGGATAAACAAGAAATGATTAAAAGTACAAAATCATCACAAAAACCCTAAAACAATTAAAACCGACTTAAGGAAGCACCACTCGACTCGATCAAAGGCTTTACTTATGTCTAATTTAATAGACATGAAACCAGTTTTACAAGTGGAACGAGTTTTCATAGTGATGGGTTTCATACGCAAGGAGGACATTATCCGTAATGAAGCGACCACGGATAAAAGCAGATTGAGACTCAGAAATGATAGAAGGTAAAATCGAACAGAGTATATTGATATAACTTTTGAAGACAATTTATAAACAACATTGCACAAAGAAATTGGATGAAATTGAGTAATAAGGTCCGGATTTTTGACTTTTGGAATGAAGACAATATGAGTATAATTCATTTGAGAGTAAAAAATGCTATGATTCAAAAAATTAACACAAAACTTGTAACATCATTACCAACAACGTGCCAAAATTTTTTGAAAAAAAAAAGGACTCATACCATCCGGACTGGGCGATTTGAAGGGTGTCATTTCCTTTAGTGCTTTTAAAACCTCATCTGCCCTATAAGCAGATTAATCCCAATAGTGACAACGGATATGAACAACAGTTTAATGCGCGCTTATACGGCAAATCAGGTTTTATTATAATTGAGAGAATACAATAAATGCAAAAATATATTTTTAAAGTTTCATTTTCAATTAGAAAATTATACTAAATACTACCTCCGTTTTAAAAATAAGTGTCGTTTAGCAAAATAGAGAAATTTCAAAATAAGTATCGTTCTCACATCCCAATGTAATTTTTGTCCAAAGTTACCAAAATTACCCTCAAAAGAATTAATACTATTGGTGGACATTTTTTAAATGGGGTTGGTTGAGGATATTCAAGTAATTTTAATACTCTATTTAAGAGTATTTTAAACTATGTGCAAAATGTAAGATGCCAATTATTTTGGAATGGAAAGAGTAAAATTTAAGACAAATTAAAATGACTTATAATAAGGACCAGAGCAAATAGTTTACTCTTTGAGTTAAGATAATTGTTTCTTCATTTTATTTTGTTTGACGCACTTTGATCCCTTTTGCCTTTGAAAATTGGAAGCTTGATTGCGATGGCGCCGCCCCCGCCCGCCAGTCAACGTACCTTGAGTCTTGACTAACTTAACAGTTGGATGGATGAACTCGGAATTAAAAAACGGACTGCATTATACGTCCGGGAACCATGCAAGGTCTTGTAATCTTGTTGAATTGAATTGTTCTGTTTGATGATTTTTTTTCTTTTTTTTATTTAAAATAAACATCATTACTACCACTTATTTATAATGTATTAACGGAAATTCCCTTTTTTTTTGTTTCCTCCCTAACATGCCCGGGAGTACTGTATTCCCATGCATGGTGGTAAGAACTAAGAATTAGTAGCCAAGAAAATTTTCAAGGAATTTGAGCATGTCCTACTATAAAATCGCGTAATATGCCTTATCATTTTCGAGTAATTCTAACCAGCAGTAATCCGATCTGTTGGGTAATATGGCATATGAAGACATATTTTTTTTTCAAAAGTAATAAGGCATATGCATAAGATTTTCTCCACCCCCCTCCCCCCTTCCGCCATGCGAATTTTCTAGAAAGTTAAACTCCGTTTCAATATATTTCCAAGTGGTTGGATTTTCTCATCACTAGCTGGTGCATTTCCTAATTATTGATCCAAATTATTATGACACTTTTCAAGATGTTCGGTTGTTTGGTGCGGATGCAAAGCTTGAAAGTGAAAGGGATAGAATATTCGAAGAAACATGAGTATTGTACTTCTAAAACAAAGTTTCATCCTTTTGATTTCCGGTCCAACAGATCGCAATAGGAAAAATATGTAAAATTTGAACAAGAAGACAAATAATAATTATGTGGAAGCCAAAAAATATTCCCAAAGGAAACGTTCTTTTTTTCCGTAAAACAGAAAAAAAAAAAGTTATTTCGGCAATAGCTTCTTATTTTACTTGTTTTGATGGGTATAACAAGTGCACTAATCTATTTATTGTAAGGGAAAATGGAAGAATTAAGTGTAATAAATACAAAATATGATACAAATACATACTTTGACCTAAAAAGTTCAAAACAGAACTTTAAATATGAGTCTGGTCATCTACAAGTAATGGAGTCATTGCAAAATAATTGTTATTACATTAAAAAACATGTTCATGACTTTCATGTAATGACCAGAAACAATGAAGCTGAACATTGATTAACCCTTGCATTTGCCCTATAAAACCCTCACCAACAATCTTCTCCAAACTCAAGCCTTCCATTATATTTCTTGTTCTCTCAACTGTCTCCTTCTCAATCATCAAGTACAATGGCTTCATTCTTAAAGTCCAATATTCTTAACTTATTTGCACCATCATCATCACCTAATCAGCTTCCTATGTATCCCGGCGTGACGAAATATAACTTAAACGGTAGAAAATCTCAAACCCTAGTTTGTGATATGCATACCTTGATAAGGTCACAATCTTTCTTCCCATTTTTCATGCTGGTGGCATACGAAGGCGGAAGCATCTTTAGGGCTTTCTTGCTACTTTTATCATATCCTATTTTATTGGTTTTGAGCAATGAGCTCAAGCTAAAAGTTATGATCTTCATCACATTTTGTGGTCTTAGGTTGAACGACATGCAAAAAGTTGAAAGGGCTGTTTTGCCTAAGTTCTATCTAGAGAACTTAAATCCTCATGTTTATGAGGTGTTTGCTTCCGTTGGCTCTAGACTAGTGCTTACAAGCGTGCCTAGGGTAATGGTTGATAGCTTTCTCAAGGAGTATCTCAACGTGGACACCGTAAAAGGGACCGAGTTGCAAATCCTTGGTCAATTCTTCACTGGATTCGTTTCAAGCTTAGGGTTGCTGGAGAATAGAACAACTCTTAAGGAATTATGTGGAGAAAATCTCCCTGATATTGGCATTGGAAGTTTCAATCTTGAAGATGACTTGGACTTGATCTCCCTTTGCAAGGTATACCTTCTCAAAATATTGAGTAAATTATCAAAATATACCATCTTTGTCCCAAAATTATTGTCCAGTTGGATTTTCATTTTTGTCTAATTTATGTTGGAAGTGAAATCTCAAGCTGGTCAATCTCATAATTTTGGGACGGAGGGAGTATTTCCTTTAACTTGAAGACAACTTCCCTCCGTCCCACATAAAGAGTTGACATTATAAATATAATGTGAACTATTTTTATAAGGCAGAGAGTATATCTCTAAAAACTGAACCTATCATCATATATAATGATAATACCCATTAGTCAACTTGGTGATAGGATTTTCATATATATATATATATATATATATATATATATCTTGATATTGTGTGAAAGTAACTAAAATTAATTAATTTGAGAACTAACTGAATTTGAATCCTTTTCCAGTACGAAAGACCAAAATGATTGTTAGTTCCACGTTAAAGTAATCCGATGATTTATCCCATAATGAAAATTTTCAATGAACAGAAAGAAAGTGAGTGCAAAGAAGAAATATTGTTACTCTTGATTATAGTGTCGCACAAATTCTTTTCAATTTGTATGAATTCTTGCATGCAGGAAGCTTATGTAGTTGGCAAAGAAGATCTCGAGAAAACAATGCCAAGTTCAAAATACCCAAAACCTCTAATTTTCCACGACGGAAGGCTAGCGTTTCTCCCAACTCCTCTCGCAACCCTCAACATGTTCCTATGGCTCCCATTTGGGTTATTATTAGCAATTTTTAGGCTTTCAATTGGTGCACTCATGCCTTTCTTGCCATGCAAAGTTGTCATCATGTTATACACTTTGTCCGGGATGGAAATGGATCTCAATGTGAGTAACCTTTCAAGTATTTCAAGGTCTTCTGGTAAAGGGAAAGGAGTTCTCTACGTGTGCAACCACAGGAACAATGCTGATCCCGCATTCTTGATCCTTGCATTGAACAATAAAAACAGACCTTTGACTTCAGTAGTTTATGGTGTAAGTAAAATTTTTCGGTTAATAACGCCATTGAGACTAGTGAATTTATCAAGGAATGATCGAACCAAGGATGCGGAAAAAATCCGGAAAATATTGAGCCAAGGTGATTTGGTGATGTTTCCAGAAGGTACCACTTGTAGAGAACCATATATATTGAGGTTTAGCTCATTATTTGCTGAATTAACCGATGATATCGTCCCGGTTGCTATGAATTTGGAAGTTGGAATGTTTTATGGGGCTACTGCTTCTGGGTTTTTCAAGGTATTAGATGGACTTTTCTTGGCTATGAACCCTAGGATTTATTACAGTGTTCATGTTCTTGAAAAGTTGCCCTTTCAATCCACAGTTGGAGGTGGGAAAAGTATACACGAGGTGGCTAATGATATTCAGAAGAAATTAGCTCATGAGTTGGGTTTTGAATGTACAACTCTTAGAAGGAAGGATAAGTATATGATCTTGGCTGGAAGTGATGGTGTAGTCCCATCCCACAGTGGTAATCGATCTTGAAGAATGAGGAATTTCAACAATGCTGTTCGATGCAGTTGGGTTGATAGGTTGAATAAAGCAAACTGAATTTGCAAGTTTAATTTGAGATGATATACATTATGTATGGTTTTTGAAATTTCGTTTGATTTCATTTCGTTATGTATTGTTTAGTTGTACTACCGAATAATATGAAATTGGTTTGAATTGATTTAAGTTGAAGCCACAATTTTGAAAAGAGAAGGGTGTCAATTTAGTACTCCCTCCCTCCATCCCAAAAAAATAGTCCACATTAAGTTTTGAAATTTGTACTAAAAACAGTACAAATTTGCAATATCAATGTGGACTATTTTTTTGGGACGGAGGTAGTATTAATTAATTTCAACTATATTGCGTACTTTTTACTATTCTCTGTGTCAAAATTATTATCTACTTTAGATTTTCACTTGTAATTCAATTTGTAATAAACTGGACAATAATTTAGGAGTGCTAAATTTGGGAGCCCCATCGATCAAAGTGTCAGGATTTCGTGCTAGGAGATAAGGTCCAGAGAGTTCCAATATCGAGCCCAATAAGTAAGTAGCAATCTGCCTCAACCTAAAAACCTCAAAATGATAGGTTTTGGAACCAACTTACTTATTAACCGCTCTCTATTGCCTCCAACTACCGGTGTGGGACAATTAACGTACTCATGACCTTAACAATCTCCCCGTCACGAGTAACTCACCACATCAAAGTTTAATTCTTTGATGTGGGACAATTAATTTACTCATGACGTTAACAATCTCCCCGTCATGAGTAACTTCCCACGTCAAAGCCTAATTCCATTTTCAGTAATAACCGCACCAAGCCCACCTCTACTCTAAGTTGGAAAGGCGACATCTTTTAGAGTACCGAGTTTCATGGGTCAACCCAGGTGCACAACTCCCAAAAGCCAAAGAGTCTACACCAGACCCAGTCAAATTTCGGCTCTAATACCACTTGTTAGGAATTTTGGCTCGAGAAATAAGGCCCAATGAGTTCCAATATCGAGTCCATAAGTGAGTAGAAACCTAACCCAACCTAAAATCTCAAGGTAATAAGTTTTGAGACTAACTTATTTATTACCTGTTCTTTATTGATTCATATACTGATGTGGGACAATTAACCTACTTATGACCTCTAACACAAAGAAATGCAAAACTCATGAAGAGGCTTTAGCTAACCTTGAACAACTTAGTCACACGCTCCTCTCCTTTTGATGGATCATTTATACAGCTGTAGAAGTCTAAGAACAAATAAAAATACAACAAACGAGAACGTAGTTAATTTCATAATTGGAATTTGTATGAACGTAATGTAGTAATTTAATCAGCGGCAGTTTACAAATATCCGAAACTTATTAAAACACCTTTTCTTTTACCCTGCATTATTATGTAGCACACACGATCGTTTCTCTTCTTTTTTCTTTTTCGAAATTTTAAAAAGATTAAATAAATTAATCGTTCGATCAAGTAGATATAGGAAATTAATTTGGAAACTTTCTATATATCAAAAAAAAAAAAAAAAAAACAGTCAAAAGTTGACAGAATTGGATTTCCAATTGGCGGTGGGATAAACTCTAAAAATACAGGGGCATAAGGAATAGGATTTGATTCACTTCTCTTTCACTTCTTACCTTCTGCCTCTGTGTAACTCTTCCAATTGCGGTGGTTTTCATCCTTCAGTATTCTTCACAGTTTTCAAAGAAGAATAAAAAAAGGAAAGCAAATGGATTCATACCTCTCTGTTTTATTCTACCTTTTAAATTTCCCCTTCATGCAATCTGCCACTGCTGAGTCGCACTCTGGTTTCCATCTAAAAGGGCTTTACAGATCTTTCCAACTCAAAGGGCGCGTTGAATTGGAGGGGATTTCAGTGTGGAAAGAATACTTAAAAGCAGTTAAGCCGGAATCCGATTCTTGGGTTCGAGCCGAATTTGATTTCAAGGCACTGGGTACCTTTCTGCCGCCGGAATTGTACACTAAATTTCGGCAGAGCTTCATAAGGCAGATGGCTCCGTACTATCCTCAGGTCCCAAGTGTGACCGGCCTGTTCGAAACCTGTTTCAATCTCAGCGCCGCCATTGAAACCGATTGTGCTTGTATTAATGATATTCCAGAGGTGGAGTTGATTCTGGTTGTTGATGAAGGGAAATACGGCCGATTCCCACCGGAGAAACGTGTCCGTTTAGAGACCGGCAATGTGTTGGCGCTTGAGGATGATGATACTCAGACGTTCTGTATGCCATTTGCTCCGACACCTCATGGATTTGCTCCGACGCTGCCTAAGGGAATGGATCTTGCCCTGTCGGAACGATTCTACACAAGGGATGGATCGATTATGATTCCCAGTCCAAGACTGTGCTAATGTCGCACTCTGTTATGTGATCTGTTGTTTAGTTTCTTCACTTTTAATCATAACCAAGTTGTTGTCTTTTTTTTTTTTTTATAAATTTTTTTATTTTTGTTAAACTTTGTTCCGTTATATGCATAAATCAGTACGCTAACTACAGTACTACAGCTTGTGTTATTCTCTGATTTTTTTGATTCAAACTTGACAATTATGCTTTCTTGTTGCATCACTTTGATACAAGAGTGCTCATATTTGAGGCTAAGTAATTTGGATGATGATGGTGAATCGGATTGAGGCTAATACATACCACATTGTCAATATTGCTTATAACAAGACACTGTTTGGGAATTTGAGTCTTATTCAATGGTGTTTTGTTTGAGCAAATTGTTAATTATAGGATGGTCGAATCCGCATGAACTAGCAAAGGACGTATTACGTATATATATTAAGTTAATGAAATGCGCTTACCAATAGGCAGCGAATACAGATCGTGAAGATATATGTAACTTGATGTGTTGCAAATCAATACTGTGTACCAGCCCTTTTCTCTATTTCATCCAGAACAAACAATGCTATACAGATTTGGGGTGCATTGGAATACTTTTCCGGAGTATACAAAATTGAATGATCACCAACTAACAAAACTAATTTGAATAATTTCACAACATCAGACAAGAACATGATTAAAAACTACCAGGATGAATAATGCCCGCAACCAAAGCTAGTGACAAAAGACCATAGTATTGGTCAAAATTCGAGGAAAAAACCGGAAGATAGAAATGGAACTAAATAAAATGGCATCCAAAGCATCTATTTAGCTCTTTCAATTAAGTGATACAGACTAACTTATTTCCAAAGTGCAAGTATGTATGTATGTGGATATTATAAAAAGCCAACCTGAAAGCATAGAATACTTGCAATTAATCCGACTACAGAGGATTTCCATATTATAGGAGATTGAAGAAGTTTCCATTGCACCAATATTTTTAGATGCCATCTGGCAAGGAGCTAAATCCTAAGTTCATACAAAAAAAAAAAAGAAGAAAAAAAGAGAGAAACTCAACATTAATCAACGGTGACCAGAGAAAGGATCAACATTTCGCATAGCTTCCGAATCAGATTTAAGCAGTACAGGTTTCTTTAGCATTGTTATGTAAATTATCAGAAAGATGAAAAAAAGATGGCTGTGGAAGGCCATCAGAAGCGATCATTCTCCAGGGATTTCCTGGAGATTAACATACAGCCTTGATAAGGGGAATCCCGCTCCATTTTTTGAGCTTCCTCATATTTCTTTGGGACAAATTTAGTTTAACAAATTATGTAAAGATGAATTTTGTGTAGTAGTTTAATCAGACTCACGAGTGCCAAAATTATATTATTTTTAATACAAATTTCAAAATATCAATATGGACTAATTTCTTTGGGACTGGGATACTAGTTTTCTTTCATCTTCATTAACCTTCAACATAGTAATTTCGTTGCATTTAGCTTTGGACATATGCTTCATTATCTCACAAATTTATTCCTCTACAAATTTGAATTGGTACGTTTTCATTTCTGGAGCATATCGCATTAGCCTTGATTATCGTGGTTAACTCTTCTTCGTGAACAGCAAGCTATGATAATGCTATAGATTTTGTATACCACATTAGAAAAAAGTTCAATTTGTCAACATGGGGTAGCTTTATATGATTAATTCCAATTAATTACGCCAATTATGTATAGGAATTTGGTGGAGAGACTGAAGGCGACTCACAGTATGGCTTGCCTGATTCGTGTTAGATCTATTTGATGATTGGTAACATTTTGAGTTGACAAATGCAGAAATTTTTGGATCACATTAATTAATTTGCTATCACAAAGTTGTGGATTCAATTAACTCAACAAGCTCATTTTGTCCCCAGCATCTATATGTTGAAGTATTTATCCCACATTGGTATATGGAGACACTTTGTATCAGTAAAAAAAAAATAAGTATCCTGAGCTACTCCCCTCATTGTCAATTGGTTTTGATGTGGAACCCCATGGCTTCTATATGGTATCAGAGCTGGTTTGGCCTGTGGTGATTTTAAACTCACGATGTTATTCCGTAGTCCAATTTGATTCTGCGGCTAGTGATGTTATTCCACGGTTTATTTTCTGATTCCGATGATTTAATCCAAGCCCTTGGACTTGAGGGAGAGTGTTGAAGTATTTATCACACATTAGTGTCTGGAGACACTTTAATCCAAGCCCGTATGGGCTTAAGGGGGAATGTTGAAGTATTTATCCCACATTAGTGTCTGAAGACACTTTGTATCAGTATATAAATACCATGGGCTAAATAATTACGATTGAAGGTGTCTGAAGACACTTTGTGTTAATATATAAACACCATGGGCTAAATGATTATAATTGAAGAATATCATGGGCTAAAATAATTACAATTGAAGGTGTCTGAAGATACTTTGTATCAATATATAAACACCATGGACTAAATGACTACGATTGAAGTTATTTTGATGCATGGAACAAAAACTTTATTTAAAGTCAAGAATACGGACGGATCAAGCCTCAAGTTGAGAGCAAATGAAAAGTTTAGCCGCTCCTTATATTATAGTTTGATAATTGAATTACATGCCCAGATATTTTTATTTTTTTTTTTATATTACATACCGAGTTATTTTCCCCTTTGTTTAATGAAAGTACTCTATAAATATTTTAATCTTTTTCTATCTCAAAATAATTGTCCGATTTGGATTTTTTACAAAATCGAAATATGAGAATTCTTTTGAAACAAAGAAAATAGGAAATTATATGATATACTAATTTTCAAACATATCTTTAAGAAATTAAAACGTTATTTGATTTTTTTTTTTTCTTTTTGCAGAATTTGCACTTTCCTGGTGAGGCCGATTCATACATCTGATCTTCCAAAAGAAAAGAAAATCATGCACAACGCCGAACTCATAGCTAGGCATGTTTACCTTAATTTCTAGCTATATTTTGCATTAGTTCAATGATCAAAAAATAAATATCTGAAATGCATAATATTGACGAGTCCATATCCAACACAGATTATCGGACAGACCCATCCGCCAACAATAGGTCCAACCGACTTAGCTAGGGCGGTTTAACAATATGAAACCTAGTAGGATTGGGACATCTGCTAAATAATTCCATGCCTATAAATAGCGTTGATCACTCCACAATAAATGTACGCTATCTCTAGCACCAATCATCATATACACGCTTTCTTGTAACCCTATTTTTGACTTAATCATTGAGTGTCTACCCTCGGGAGACGTCCGAGGCCCTGTTTTGCAGATAAATCCTATCGGAGTTCCACTAAACCGACGGTACAATTCCCGACTTTGTTAAGTGACACGCCCAGTTGGACCCGAAAAACTAGGGTTTGTGTCACAAAGCTTTCTTAAGCTTTCGAAACTCCAATAACCCTTAGCTTCCGTTACAAATTAGGGTTATTTTTTGAAGAAAGATGGTTATAGTGGCTGAATCCCAATCCAGCACGGTATCATCTACCGAGCGGCGCAGTCCCGACGACAACGCTACCTTGCTGAGTTCCAGGAACAACAAAAGCGGAAAAAGAGTAGCAGGCAGCCAAGGAAAGAAACGGGTAATGAGCGTCTGAATATCGATAATGCTCAATCTCGTAAGAAGAAATCTCCTACTAAACCATCAACAGTTAATCCTGCTATTGAAAGTCAACAGACAAACCAGAATGTCTAATCCCCCAAGGGACGAAGAACGCTTGGCTGAAATCAAAGCGGAACTCAAGAAATTGTGCGACGATAGCACGCTCAATCAAATGATGAAAAGATATGTGCTCGAGGAAACTCGACGCCGTTACTTGCTCGGACAGCTAGATCCAACCGAGCAAGAGTTAAGAGATGTAATCGATGAAAAAAAAGCACTCAGAATGTTGGCTCTACTCGAAAAAAAAGCAAGGCAAACGTAAGGTCTTGGAAGAGGAAGACAGCAAGGAAGCCCCGGAGTACGAGGCCTTCCACGAGGAACATTCAATCGCTACCCGAAACACAACCTTCTGGGATTCGTTTAGAAGAGCGTACCCTACATTTGAAATAACAGTCGAGGAAATTAAGGAACTCCACGAAGAGATGCGCAGGCGAGATTATCAAAAAGATCAAGACTACCATGATTCCTTGATTCTTGAAGCAGACGTACATGACGAGATAGCCGTCTTGCAGAAAGAGAATTTCAAACTTAGAACTGATAAGGAGATAGTCGTATCGCCGTGGTTTCTCGAGAAGCATTATGTACTTGCTCGAGTACAGTATATGATTGTTGTGAGGACTCGCCGATACATCACCGCAATGGAGCTGCTGAAAGAGAGAACCCGAGATGTAGAGCTTTTTACCGAATATTGTGGCATCTTGCAGAATTTACTGGTGGATCACAGAATCGACTTTCTAAGTTTCGAAAAGCTAGAAGAGTTTATAGATCCAAGGAACAGGAGCTCTCGAGAAGAACTACTCTTGAGGATGAATGAGCAAGACGAGGAGATTGCTGATTTGAAGGACAAGCTCAATCAATGTGTTAATCTCGTTAGCAAACATGGGTTTAGAGGCATCATTCGTCCTTCTTCTGATAATCCAAGGAGGCAGGTCCTTGTAATAGTGTAGAAAAACAAGCGTATTTTTCATAACCTCACACAATGTGTGGAAATATGTATTCATCATGCAGGTGGTCTGGTGGTTGTGGATAAAATTGTGTAAAAATAATGTTTGAAATAAATTTAAAAGGTAAATTAAAAAATTGTTTGGATAGTATTGGATTTTGTGTTCGAGAGGTGTTTTAAAAGGAAAAATGAGATAAAAAGGTAAAATAAGAGTTGGGCGAACAAGACCGTATACTCCCTACGTGGCTATGTCTCAAAATTATCATCTAGTTTAGATTTTTATTTTCAGTCCAATTTGTGTTAAAACTAAAAATCTGAAATGAAGACAAAAATCCATTTTGGGATGGGGGAGTAATTTGTCAAGACAAAAAGTCTTCTTTACAGAGCAAGAATTCATCTTGCATGTCAAAGTATGAAGCTCTGAAATTGTTGAACTTTCTAAAATCCATGTTTCTAGTTCTTTCCATTTCATTGCAAGCAAGGGAAGGGTAAGAAATTTTCCCAATTAAGTTAGAGAGATGAAATATGGTAGTATTTAGTATTTGTTTGGCAGAAAAAAAAAAGGACTAATTTTAGAGAAGTTTATATTGTCAATACGTTTTCTACTATTTTTTTCCGTCTTAGAAAAACAAGTGAGTCGCTTTCTTAAGAGGGAAAAAGTATTTTCCCAAATCCGGAGAAAGAAAAAAAAAAAAAAAAAAAAAAGCAACATTTTCAACAGCTAACATTTTGCCTCCACGCATGCCACGTCTCTTTAGGCTTACCCCATACTGTCAGTTACAAAGTACCACATTTTTTGTTCACTTCAATATGGTAAAGAAAACAAAGAAACTGATTCGGGTCAACCTTTTCAAGATCAGCATGCCTATAAATTAAGAAAAACATGATGTTCTCTTCAATCTTGAGTAGTTCACTAGATATATTCTTGTTCTTTACGGAAGATATAATGTGTCCTGGCTATGTTGCAAAATCTTAAGCTGTACTATAGCTGATTCATGTCAAAAACATTCACCATTGGGAATTTTCTTGGAGAGCCGAATGAAAGAATCAAAAAAGAATTTATCATTTCCAAGCATAAACAATTGTATATCAAATCGTCGTAGAGGGTCACAAATGTTGGTTTGTGACATGAAGGCATTGCTAAGAAGTCAATCATTTTTCCCATACTTCATGTTGGTGGCTTTTGAAGGGGGCAGTATGCTGAGGGCATTGTTATTGCTTCTATCCTATCCTTTGTTGTGCGTTTTGGATTTCGAGACCGAATTGAGGGTTATGATATTCATCTCATTTTGTGGGCTGAGGTTGAAGGACATGGATGTTGTTGCAAGGGCAGTTTTACCAAAGTTTTACCTTGAGAATCTTAATCTCTTGGTTTATGAAGTGTTTGAGTCGGTAGGGAAAAAGCTAGTTTTGACAAGTTTGCCTAGAGTTATGGTTGAAAGTTTTCTTAAGGGATATCTCAGTGTTGATATGGTTAAAGGGACTGAGTTGCACACAATTGGCCCGTTTTTTACTGGTTTTGTATCCAGCTCGGGATTGCTTGTGAAGCATAAAGCTCTTCAACAATTTTGTGGTGAAAATATGCCACATATTGGCATAGGAAGTCAAAATGATGATCATCATCACCAATTTCTTTCTCATTTCAAGGTAAGTTGGATCCGTTTGTTTTTCATCAAGGAGTTGGAAACATAGTCGAAAAATGATGATCCACACTTTTCATGAAATTAAATCACCCTAGTTATCTTCTTGTATTATACTCAGTCTCACTTATCTTAATCATCGTACTAACATAACATTCATTTTAAGATAGGATGAGTACGTATCTACTTAATTAGACATATTTGAATATAAATTCCGGTTTCTGTGCGCATCATCGTCTTTAATTTGTTCTATGTAGCTTGTCTTTGTGTGATTATACACAATGAACAAGTCTCTTAATTAGTATACGTAATGCGTTTTTGTACTAATGGATGAAGAAAATTACTTCAGCCTATATTGAATACAAGTTAAATTTGATTCAAAGTGATTGCATTTTTCTTTTGATTGTTGAATTTTGGGGAAATCCGATGAATCTATACCTGTATATCCTTTTACTTTGTCTTCTCTACCGCAGGAAGCTTATGTTGTTAGAACAGAGGACCTAAAAAGCAATTCCACCAAATCAGTAATAATGCCAAGGGAGCGTTATCCAAAGCCATTAATCTTCCACGATGGAAGATTAGCCTTCTTTCCAACCCCTCTTGCGACCACAGAAATGTTCATATGGCTTCCATTTGGAATCATCCTAGCAACATTCAGAATTCTAATTGCTGCAATCTTGCCTTACAGATTAGCTGCATTATTAATGGCGTGCACCGGCGTAAAATTCGATTTTAAAGGCAAATCGGTCCATAATTACCACCGCAAATCCAAATCTAAATCCAAATCCTGCGGCGTGCTCTATGTTTGTAACCACAGGACTTTGGTCGACCCGGCAGTTCTTCTGGCGGCGTTGGATAAAAAGCCTTTGACCGTGGTAACTTACGGACTCAGTAAGTTTTCCGCGCTCATCGCCCCCATAAGAACAGTAAGTTTGAGAAGGGATAGAACCCAAGATGCCAAAACAATCCAAAAGTTGTTGAGTGAAGGTGATTTGGTAGTTTGTCCTGAAGGTACAACTTGTAGGGAGCCTTATTTGTTAAGGTTCAGCTCTTTGTTCGCGGAATTAACCAATGAAATTGTGCCTGTTGCGATTAGCACAAGTGTTACTACGTTTTATGGTACAACAGCAAGTGGGTTCAAGTGGTTAGATCCGATTTATATGGCAATGAACCTTAGGCTTAGTTATAGTGTTGAGGTTCTTGAGAAGTTGCCCAAGGAACTTACAGTTTCGGGTGGGAAATCTAGCCATGAGGTGGCTAATTTCGTACAGCGAAAAATCGCAGATGCTTTGGGACTTGAGTGTACTAGTCTTACGAGGAAGGATAAGTACATGATGCTTGTCGGAAACGAAGGACTAGTTCAACACTCATGCACAAGGATAATCATGCACTAGCTAGCTAGATTTTTGTGGTGCTGAAAAGTGTTATTTATTCGTTGTATATGTGGATATATTTGGCTCTAATGATTATTATTTAAAATCAGAATTACAGTTCAAATCCATAAATCAAATTTTGTCGTTGATTATCTAGCATCCTTGTTACTCCCTCTGTCCCAAAATTATTGTTCAGTGTGAGATTTCACTTTTAGTATAATTTAAACTAGAAATGAAAACTCAAACTGGACAATAATTATGGGACGGAGGGAGTAATAGTTTGTACCGTTTGGACTTTGGAGACTCCACTAGCTAGTTGGAATCACTTTGTGATTTTAATTCGACGAGGATTGCATACACAATCTTGACAATGCCTTTTTCGATTAGTTTTCAATCTTGTTTTTATTTGAATGTTGCGAGCTTCACTTTAAGGACGAGCATATACCATTCATTTGAAAGGATCACAAAAAAAACAAAACAAAACGTGACTTTGGACCGTAATCTCGAAAGTAAAATGCTTGAGTACAAAATCGGATTATGCATAAAAAAAAAATCTTGTACTATGACGTTATACACTCTAAAAGATATGTTTCTCAAAATATTTACACTTGGGAGTACTGAAACACGCCCTATAAGAATTGACTAGATGATTAAACTTTAAAGAGAATCAAAAGAAAAAGAAAAGAAGACGTGGCTTGGACCAATTCGATTTAACAAAGGTAATTAAGAGTTGTCCTTTAATTAACTCATGAAGTAGAAAAGTGAAGTTGATGAACTGTTTTGGCAGCTAATTTGCCCCCAAAAGTTCAACATTATCCACTAAGTGTGAATAAAAGCTAGCCATTTCGTCTTGAACTCCAACAACACAGCTACTATTACCTATACACAACGAAAAGTGATCCATATAATCAGACCGAATGATGAATTCAGTAGCCCCCCATGCAAACTGTCATCACAAAATCTTCTTCCACAGGATCGTGGAATATCAAATTTAAAGATTTAACTAATCAAAAAAGATGTACGTGATTAATTTATCTAGTTACAAATAATTAATTAATCCGCATGATGATAATTCAATGTCGTCCACATGTAACAATTATCATCCATCACAAAAATTTTGGACCACCCAACGACTCGATCATTATCAACGCCATACCTTGACATCAAAATATAGACCTATCTCTAGTCAATATATAATTAAATTATGGCTAGATGATTTTAAATGGAGACACGTTCGCCATTGCATCACAACCTGAAATAGAAACCTTAATTGTAAAGCCTTGTTTGTAATATTTAACTAATACTATAATGAAAGGGATTTTCAGACAGTAAAAATGAGTGTCGAATCGATAAATAAAAAGAAATTTCAGAATTAGAATGTGGAACCAGAATACGGGATAAATGGGTTCCATATGTAAAGACTGTTCAAAGAGATTAGTGCTACTATTACGTTGGAATGGGAAAAACAAAAAGCCATAGTCAAACATCCACATCAAATGATTGAAAGGTTCTACACCAACCCAGTAGCATTTTTCGCATGAATTCCAACTGCCAAAAGCAAAAGGGATAATTGAGAAAGAAGAAAAATTGTTGTTGAACTTTGGATGATTGATGAGAGGAATTATTTCACTGGTTGACTGCATCAATAAATTTTTTTTTTCATCTTTTTTATAATTTGATGATAACGTTTAAAAATTGATTAAAATGGGAGGTTATTTGGACCGTCACATGTACTGTTGAATTGAGTATAAATTGTTGTTGTGGACTGTAAATGAGGGGATTTTTCATCATCAACATTTCAGCATGGAGTCAGATTTCATTTAATGTATGTCTTTGGCTAGTTGGGACTACAAGAACGAGGTGACCGAATGGGCTTTTAATTTTCTTTTTTTAATTCCAAAATGAATTTAGTCAACGATGAGGTTTTCCTTGTTTTTTTTTTCTGGATTAAAAAAAAAAAGACGAGAATTTATTTTAATTTACTGGAGTGGAACTTGGATTGGTCAGGCTAGTGGTTTCAAATGAGTTACATAATATAGCACAAAAAAAGGAAGATATTCAAAAGGAAAATCATTTTATGTATAGAATGTACAGCTAAAAAGCATAAAAAAGGGGATGGTCATTTAATGGAATTTTAAAACTGAATTCACGATATTATTAGGGAAGATATAATTAGTATAATGAACCCGATCGTTACACAAGATTTGAGATGATTATACCTTTTTTGATGCAAATATTTCTCAGAATGTATATTGAGATAAATCGTGATTAAATAGGCTAACTAAATTAATCGTCCCAATGTGTAATTGTATATGCACAAATTGAATACAATCTCATTTATTACTAACAGTTATCAGATGAAGTTGACCAAATTCCTCTAATGTAACTTGTAAAATACTATAATAAAAATAATTAACCATCTCTCTCGTAGATTTCAAAGAGGTAAATTAATACTATACACATTCATTGCTGTGGAATATGCTGCTCTGTGCAACTCTCCCCAAGCAAATTGATGAATAGTGGTTGGACCTCTAATTGCTAAAACATGCTCACGCTTTCCAATATTTTTCCCTCTTTTACTAAAAAAATATATATACATTCCCTTCATCTCAAAATCCCAAAAATAGAATCACATATATTTCTGATTGGAAGGATAATACTAATGCACATGTATAATCACACAATCAAACCAAATGTCCATCATACCAAATCATACATATATACAAGACTATGTCAAGATTTTCAAACACAAACGAACCCAAAAACCGTGTCAAATTTTCAAAGTAACCACAACAACAAACATGAGCAACGCACAAAAGTACTAGAAGTCGCTCACCAACAAATTAACCTAACCATGTTCATCATGTTGGTTACTTGTCATCACCCCTTCATTTTTCTTTTATCAAAACAAAGAAAGAAAAAAAAAGAAAAAAAAAACTCAATCATGTTGACGGCATTTACTCAATAAGGTAAAATAAATAAATAAAGAAAGGGAAAAAACAAAGTAAAAGTCTACAAAATTTTAACGTTTTTAGGCGGCAATTAATGCCAGCGGTGTGTGTAACCAAAATTGCATGGTCAACTTCTCCCCTCTCTGCACTCTTTTATTGCACTCTCTATAAATTCCCCCCCTTCCCATCCCATCTGTTTCCTTTATCTTCTCAACCTTTCATACCGATTTGATACACTATTCTTTCCATTTATCGCATTCTTTGTTACTATTGTATAAACCCCCCAACAAAAAAAAAGAATAAAAAAAATTACTCCTATCATCATAATCGTCATAATCATCTCATAACCACCATGGTCTTTTTCCCTATGATGCTACTCAAATTAGCAGACTATCTTCTGTATAAGATTCTTGCTAATTCGTGTTATAGAGCTGCTACAAAGGTAAGGAATCATGGGATTTTCCATAGGAATTCATCTTTCCGATCATCATCATCATCATCCCAACAACTGCCACTTTTTCCTAGCGTGACCAAATGTACTTTGACCACCGATAGAAAGTCCCAAACTATGGTATGTGACGTTAACGATTGCCTAATCCGATCCCCATATTCTTTCTTACCTTTCTTCATGTTAGTGGCATTTGAAGGTGGTGGGATTTTCAGGGCTTTTTTGCTTCTCTTTTCATATCCTATTTTGTTGGTTTTGAACCATGAACTCAAGCTTAGAGTCATGATCTTCATCACATTTTGTGGGCTGAAAATAAAAGATATGGATAGTGTGATGAGGGCTGTTTTGCCTAAGTTTTATCTCGAGAATCTTAATGTTCATGTGTATGAGATTTTGGCTTCATCGGGCAATAAGGTTGTGTTCACTAGCTTGCCAAGAGTTATGGTTGAAGGATTTCTTAAGGAATATCTTGGTGTTAATGTGGTCAAAGGGACTGAGTTGAAAACCAAGGGGAAATATTACACTGGATTGGTGGCTTCTTCTGGTTTGCTAGTCAAACATAGAGCTCTTAAAGAGGTCTTTGGAGAAAAAAGGCCTGATCTCGGCATTGGAAATTCAACGATTTATGACCAGCTCTTTATCTCCCAATGCAAGGTATTTATCTACCTTATTACGTTTTCCCTTAAACTATGATCATTTGTGCATCTTTTAATTGTCCTGCACTATCGAAATGCACTTTATTGGTATTTTTATTTCTTTTTATAACATTCATATAGTATGTAAATTTCTTTGGTGTACTAATGAATAGTGCCAAAAACTGCGACTTGTAGGATTACCCCCCAAAAAAAAAAGCATATCACAATTACATTAATTTTTCTCTTCTTTATTTTGTGGATAAGAAGGCCAACATTTTCTCTTTTCTTCCTTTTGGGCCTCATCATCGTGTCCTTAGGAAATTCTATAATCTACTTAGGAAATTCTACTTGGGAAATTCTGGTACCATATGATAATCTACTTAGGAAATTCTACTCTCGTTTTGTTCATTTCCCTTTTTTCTTTTCTATGCTATCTCTTCTTTGATTAGATATGGAATGTTTTGAGTGGTTCATTTTGATCATACCATTCTTGTGATCTTATTTGAGTATAGGAAGCATATGTTGTGACCAAAGAAGACATGACCAAATTAGTCACATTTCCAAGGGAGAAATATCCAAAGCCATTAGTCTTCCATGATGGAAGGCTAGCTTTTCTACCAACTCCATTAGCAACTCTAGCAATGTTCATGTGGATTCCAATCGGATTGTTCCTCGCAATCTTCCGAATTCTCGTTGGCAATTGCTTGCCTTACCAATTGGCAGTCCTATTAGGCACAGCAAGTGGTGTAACCCTTCAAATCATAGGCCAAATCCCATCAAAAACACCTCAAAAAATTGGTGGTAAAATCAACAATAATGGAGTCCTCTACGTTTGCACTCATAGGACACTTCTTGATCCTGTTTTCCTAAGCACGGGATTAAGGAAACCCTTGACGGCCGTAACATACAGCCTAAGTAAAATGTCCGAATTTTTGTCACCAATTCGGACAGTAAGGCTAACAAGGGACCGGAAAAGAGACGGTGAAACCATGCAGCGATTATTGTCGGAAGGCGATTTGGTGGTTTGCCCTGAAGGCACAACTTGTAGGGAGCCTTACTTGTTGAGGTTCAGCTCACTGTTTGCGGAATTGGCGGATGAAATTGTGCCAGTGGCAATCAACACAAAGGTGACCATGTTCTACGGGACAACCGCAAGTGGGCTTAAATGTTTGGATCCAATTTTCTTCTTGATGAACCCTAGGCCACTCTACAGTGTTCATATCCTCGAAAAGATACCCAGAGAGCTTACTGTTGCTGGTGGGAAATCTGGGCATGAGGTGGCTAATTATATTCAAAGACAGTTGGCTGATGCTTTGGGATTTGAATGCACTACTTTAACTAGAAGAGACAAGTATTTGATGCTGGCTGGGAATGAAGGTGTGGTTGAAGTACCAAAAAAGAAATTCTAGGAAAATAATTTTTTTTTGTCCTTTTCTAAAATGGAAGTATAGATTTTTATATATAACCCTCAGTAGATGTTTATCTTCGGAATTTAGTGGTACGATTTTGATTTTGTTTTTGTTCTCCGGTGTGAAGCTGTAATTTTATCTATTCATAAATTATTTCGTTTCGTAAATTTTAACTGATATTGGAGGAGGCAAACTTGCAAAAATGTATTTATCAATGTCTTCTGCTCTATCAATCAACGGAACAAGAAAGAACATCAATTAACATGTTAGTAGTACTATCTGTTAATATTAAGAAGGAGATTATTTGTAACTATATTTGATTGCAAAGTTGAGAACTTTGTGTGTAATGGAGAAATGGATTATCTTAACAGGTGAGTAAAATTATAGGGAGCTAATCGTTAACCACGATATGTTCAAGGTAGCATTTTCTTTTCCCTGTTATGCAGTAATGTGTTTACCAAAAACGGGTCAACTCGTATCTGTTACTGTTTTTCAATTTACTTCAATTATATTGGTAACACAATACATGAAACTATTGAGTTGATTGTGGAAATTATTTTCAGATTCAGTGTGTGTAATGTGTATATATGCATGCTGATAAATCCACTAGCAAAATAATGAAGCATGGGCTGTTTGATCCTAAAGGAATAATCAAATCTTTATGGGATCGAGCAGTAATGTTTAAATTCTTCCAGTCTGTCTACTGCTATTGGGGGAATAAAATTTGTAGTTACTCTTTTGACCAAAAAGCTTCTCTCTTTTATTTTTCAACGCAAAACTTCAGTCAAGATTAATTTAATGATAGTGAAAATTTCCCAACTCACCTTACGCTTCTAATTTAGTCTTAGCCGACGAAATCAATACAATTTACTGATCAGAAAGTGTCTCTTTCATTTGGTTCTTTTCCAAGGTGCACATTTCTAATTCTGCACTTATCTTTAAAACAAAAAAAAAATACATAGGCTGCAAAAATATCTCTCCAAAGCCATGTTCTGGAGATGGCTTTGGAGAAATCACTGAAATACCATAAGGGGATTTTCACAGCAAATTCCTGGGCCTCTCTTTAGATTTCAAGGAAAAGAAAAGTATAATTTTCAAGAAATTCACTTCAAGGCTAACCAGGAAATTCACGAATTGGAAGACCAAACTCTTGACTTTTGCTGTTAGAGTCACGTTGGTCAAGTCTACACTTTCAGCAATGCTTGTCTATCCAATGGGAGTCTTCAAACTTCCAGCATCCACTATCAAAAAGGCAGAAAGCATAATTGGAAACTTCATATAGAATGGTGATAAGCAGGGCAAAGGAATCTACTGGAGATCATGGAAAAAGGTTAGCAAATCAATTTTTCAAGGGGTTTTAGGGCTTAAATCTATCACTGAATTCAACCAAACCTTATTAGCCAAACATATCTAGAAAATGATCTCCCAACCAGAATCTTTGTTATCAAAGCTTTACAGAGCTAAATATTGCATCACTGATTCTTTCCCTCAACAAAATTCACCAAACAATGCTAATTGGGGCTATAGAAGCATTCTCTGGGGAGCTAGATTATTACAAAGTAGCATTAAGTGCAAGGTTATCTCAGGTAGAAATATTCATATTGCTGAGGATTGGATCTCTAATCATGTCAATCCAATTCACCATTCCTCCTTCTTGGCTACACATTCCAATATTTTGGTGCGTGATCTTATCAACTCTAATGGTCAATGGAAGCCGTCCTTTCTCAGAACCATCTTCCCGGATCACCTCATCCCTCATATCACAGGGATATACATTGATCACTCAAGTAGTTCTCAGAATGACAAACTCATATGGTTGAATGTCACTCATGGGAACTATACTGTCCACTCTGGATACCATAAGGCTCTAAATAATGATACGGGTCCATCTGGAATCCAAGCTCAACCACAACAACTACTAGAAATACAAGCCTGGAAAAGGTTGTAGAATTTCAGGGTTCCACCAAAGAAGAAGTACCTCTTCTGGAGAGCTGCCTCGAATGCCTTGCCAACCAAAGCAGGTTTCACAAGAGAGGAATCCGGGAAGATCAGTTATGCCCCAAGTGTTTCACTCAAGTGGAGGATGATATCCACCTGTTTTTTAACTGTGCAATATCACAGGCAATCTGGAGTTTTGTCTACCCTTCATTTCAAACAATATTGAATGTTAATTCTCCCTCTCTTCTACACTGGTTTGTTGATTGGGTCAGGACCTCTCCATCACAAGAAGATATGGACTTCTTCCTCACAATCTTCTGTAGGATATGGATAGAATGTAATGATAAGGTTTGGTGTTCTCATACTACGGATCTAGTCAACTCCTGGAGAACAATCCAAGTGGAATACACACAGCACAAGGCCTCTATCCACCATCAGTAACATCAACGCCCATGTACTTCCTCCAGCGACCTCACACCAAGGGCCAATGTAATACAGACAGTTATTGTCTTTGATAGCTCGTTTCATCCTATCACTCGTATGTTCAACTGGAGCATGGAAAATTATTTCACCAAGTGGCCAATTGATGCAAATCAAAGCAATAGCATTCCCTTCCCTTTCAGCATGTCAAACAGAGGCAACTACCTCTTTTTTAGCTCTCCAACAAGCTTGGGAATTTGGAATCAGAGATGTAATCGTCCAAACTGTTGCCAAGAACTTACGTCCACTCAACTTATTTCCTCTTTTCCAGTAGAAACACAGGAAGTAGTTTCAAACCTTCGAAATTTAGTGTCTAAATTTCATTCTTATGTAATAGTTAAAATTCGTAAGTTCGTAGAAGTGATGTTATGGATATGCATAATAATGCGTACTCTAGAATGCAATGTAATAAACTAGATACCTTAACGTAATAAACAGCTACTTTCTCAAAAAAAAAAAGTCGAGTACTCGATCGTCGCATCTTTCTCTATTCATTTTAATATAGTTAATTTTAGTCATTAAATTATTTTAATTTAATAAATAAATTATTTAAAACTGTAAGAAAAACATTTCTTCTCTACCGTTTTAATATTTTATTTTTATTTTTGAAAAACTACCGGTGTAATATTTATATGAAGTTTTTTTTCCCCATAAATCCATAGTTATATTATCTTAATTGAAAAATCAAGGTAGGACCAAATGATCACACGTCTTTACAAGCTACTTCAGTGTTAGAAATTTTATTGTTACCACGCAATTCTCTCACTTAGAAAGAACTATACAACCTTATAAGTTATATCGTGATTTTATATATAATACACCAATTAGGATATTGGCACTTCTTGTCCTCAACTTGGCAATGGAAAATTAAATGATATTCTGCTTAAGAAAAATAGTTGCTATTGACTTTTAAAAATAGTTAAACGATATCAATGACGGTATCATTGATCTATTATAATAGAGGCGTTGTACCAAAAAGTTTCTTTTTCCACTCAACTATTTTTTCAAAGGCAGATGATACTGCCAGGGCAGTAATTAGCTGCCAGGGCAAAATATAGCTTATATTTCTTATATTGCCCTTGTTAGCTAAAGGGAATTTTTTCTTTCTCTCCTCTTAATAGTTTTGGTCTCAACTCATCCCTCCCCTTTCATTCTTTCTCTTTCTTAGATCCAAAATCTTCATGAAAATGGGAGCAGAACAAAGTTTCAAGGTATTCCAATCTAAGAAACCTCGGCCGTATGTTCATCTTTCCCTTGCAATCATACAATGAATGCAAAAATCGACCGGATTTGGAGTTTGCCTTATCTATAAAAAAATTTTCTCTCAATATTGAGATTTAGGAATCATTTGGAAGTGTTCAAGATAATAGAATTATAACAAATCAATTCACTGAAAGAAGATTCAGACTCAAATTTTCTGTTGGCCTTTTTCATTCACCTAAATTTAATTCAATCATGTTCTCCACCATCTCTCCGAAGTCTTAATTTTCATCAAAGTGGTCATAGTGATGATAAAAATAGAATTTTAAACCACCTCTATTTTTTTTTTCTTGGGTTATCAAACTTTCCGATGAATTTGCTCTTATTCTCACAGAAAGTTGGCTATTGCTCCCTCGGATATGAATTTATTGAATTCAGATTGTCTTTGAACGTTTTGATTGTTCATGGATTGGGGAGTAGAGTGATGTCATAAATATAATAGGATGATGATACCTGTGGGCATAGGATGTTAATTGGTTGCCAGGATATTGGCTATATCCATGGAGAGAGGACTCATAGGATGATGATACTTGTGGCTATATCGATGGAGCAGGGGAAGAGGAAAGAAAGGTGCAGGGGAGGACGGTCGAGGAGATAGGACTCAGAGGAGAGTAAAACAAGTAGTTGACTTATTAAGGGTATTACATGTCCTTTTCGCTCTGAATGCTAATAACTGTCCTGACAGTATCATTAGTCTTTTTCAAAATATTTTTGTTACATTTCTTCAACACATGTACTACCTTCATTTTGAAATGGATGTTGGAGAGATTTTGTAAATTTAAGGAAACAATAATTATATTTTAAAAATACTAGAATATCATTATTTATTTGCAATACAATTATTCATATAATATTGTTCTAAAATACAATTTATATTAAACAAAATTATAATTTTAATTTAAAAACAATATTTAAAAATTGACGAAATATATCGCTATTTTTAAGAACATGTATTTAAACAAGATCTATATTCAAATGGAGGGACCATAAAATATGACGACCACTGTGTTACTTTTCAATCTCTTCTTCCATTTTATCTACCACCAATCTCCTCATCCTTAACGTGACTTATACTGCCAATCTTTCACCATCAAAAGCATATTTCTTGGCAGCGCCGAGTGCCAACCCTTCCTGCATCGAGATGGGTGCACATATAATCATTGGATACGATGATGAGTTCACCTTATCATCATTAATGTTTGCTATAAATTGAAGTCCCGTGGTCGCAGGTAAAAAATCACGAAAGTACGGTTGTTTTTGTTCTTTGAACTCAATGACTTGGTTTCTTCGGACCGATGATCTTAGTAGATTACTATTTCTGTCCAAAAAAAATAAATAATATTGAATTTTAAAATTTATATAAAATTAGCATAACTTTAATAAAAAAACATAATACAAATTTATACAAATTTGAACAGAAAAGTACTACTAAATATTGATAATCCCTAACTAGTCAAAGTGTTCCGATTATTAATCTTTAAAGTATAACTTACAGTGATACTACAGTGCAATCAATTTAGAAATGATAGCCGACGGGGAGAAAAAAAAAAAGAAAAAGATCATTTTTTGTAATTTTGGTCAGATGTCAACTAGTTTGATAGATGCTTCTGAAGAAAATAGATCTCTTTCTCTGTTCTTAAGAAATCTTAAAAATTTGTGAAAGTTAAGTCAGAATAATTTTGATTTTTATTTTTTTTTTTTAGAAAATCTTACTTTGATTTAATCTAAGACAGTTAGCAATTTATGAAAAAAGAAAAAAAATTTCATTTGCATAGTGGATAGATAGTGAAAGAAATTTGCTCAATATTAATTTTTAGTTAAATTTTTTATGTTAGGGCTGAAGATGACGTTTTCATTATAACAATGCAAGTGAATTAAAGAAAGTATATTCCCTCTGTCCCGTAATTATTGTCTAGTTTTACTAACATGAAAGATTTTATTTTTGGTCAAACTTAACTATATTTTACCTTAAACAACTGGATATACCCCTACATAAGTAATTGTTTAACCACTAATATTTTATGGATAATGTTTTTTTACTAAAGACAAATGTGTAACTTGATCCATAAAAAGTAAAATTGGACAATAATTTTGGGACAAAATTTTTTGGGCAAAGTGGACAATAATTATAGGATGAAGGGAGTATTATTCTTCCACTGCCCATACAAATAGACAATGTTGCAAATGAGATGTTGGTTGTAGTTCAATTCACTATTCAAATAAGAGTGAGGCTTGTTACGGTAAATTAGTATATGAATTTTTGATTTCACACTCGAATTTATCATTAGAGGTTTGTCTAGACTGCTTTAGCACGAGTTTACCCATCTTTGGTGGGTTACGACTTAATTAAAAAAAAAAAAAAACAATGCACCATAATGGACTCACAAAAATCTCTACTCATCCCAGTTCTATTTTCCACGCTGAATCCGACGAGATTCCAATTGGTTACCAAACTAGGCCCTTAACCAGCTTTTCATTTCATATCCCGTTCGAGTTTGGGTTTCTATGGCCTTCCCTTTAAAAGTTTTTGGACTCTCTTAAACCCAATAACTGAGGCCCCTTAAGTGGTGAAGACAACATTTCGTTTAGTCAGACCACCAGCGATCGGCCGTCACACTCCGGCGGTCCGGCCAATCACCAGCCTTGTTGCCTGAAATTCAGGTTGGCACCTTTCCACAGCAGTAGTAATAATAATAATAATAATGATAATAATAATAATAATAGAATCATCCACGCATATGTTTTTAAACTGATAATTTAAAATATGTTTTCAACCACATATAAGATTTAACACTGAAGAAAATTAATGAAATATAAAACCATTCTTAATAAAGAGGATGCATTACCCCAAAGTTTGATTTGGTGATCTAACCATATTTACATAATCTTGCAGTTCTAGTCTACGACTATGCGGGCTGCACTTTGACAGTTTTACTCCATGTACATATTTCTCAAATAATTATACTAAAAATAAAAATCTAAATTATTAGAAAATTATTTTAGGACCCAAAGAATATTATATAATAACCAAGCACAATTGAGGTCTAACCAATTGTATAAAAAGTTTGGGACAGACAAATTGCTTAACCTTCTAGTTAGAGTTCAGGTCAACGTCACAAAGAGGATTAATATATAGATGTGCGAATTATCCACACGCATCAATAATTCAATTTACAAATCAACTTACGTATGGACATAGTCGGCCTTGTCCCCACGTAATTCCGATCTCCATGTGTGATTCTCTTAATCCTACCCAGCCTTTAGTTGTACCACATGACCTCTCAATTCAATCCTTATACCTCTTTCTTAATTTGCATGTTATATATATATATATATATATATATATATATATATATTATGCGTTCCATATTTATACATATAGGACAATCATGATCATTTTAAAACAGACAAGGTGTAAAGACTAATGTAGAATTGACCGACAGTAGAGTAATTATGTTTTTTACGTTTATTTTGGAGCTTAAACTTCGTTAGTAACTTTTGGACGTACGACATTTTTCCCTTTTTCCAAGTTTATTGTAATCATGCAAAACAGGCGCACGTTCAATAAATAGAACAAAGATGTGCTGAAAGATCAATTACGTACAAATACCACATCACAGATACTAACTGCATAGTAATTAGTACAAATCCATGAGCATAATGCGTGGATATAGTTTTTTTTTTCTTAATTTCTATGATCATATCACAAATCACGAAATATATCTGAAAATATTTATTATGTCATGCAACTTGTTTGATATATAATAATATTGATAGTAAAAAAAAGAATATCATTACTTCAAAAAAGTTATCATCTTAATTATAACAATAAGTTTTTTAAAAAAGATAATTATAACAATAAAATGTACACATATTGTTTTCTTTAAAAGTTATAATTTTGTTTAAACTCCCTGGTTTCGCACCTTCCTTCACAACTTTGGAAGAAATTAAAGGGAAAGAAATAAGAAATCTACCTCGTTTCTTAAAATCTCGAAAGAATATATATTTCCCAACACAAAAAAATAAATAAATAAATAAAAGAAATAAACTAAATGATTGATTGATTTTTCCTTCAGGAATTGTGATGAGAATGACACGGAGCCCGAACATGCAAACCTAATAATGCATCATCCAGCATTTGATCGTGCCATCCATTTCTCATTCCCCGATTCAACCGTCGGATAAAACCCGGTTTCTTCATCTCACAATAACTCAAGAATCTTGCCATGGCTTTCGGATTCTTGCTCCTCCAACAATCATTTTTTAGCCCTTCTTCCAGTTCCGATGAATATTCCAAGTCGGAGCTTCCGGAATCCGGCTGCCGGAACCTTCCACCGGAAAATGCTTGTTGACTAACAAACTCAACAATGCCATTCACAAGATTTGATGGGGCGTTACCATTTCCGAATCCATCCCAAAGCCATAAACGCACCATTCCTTTTTGCATTGCGACATAAATGGCGCGCTTGAAATCAATTCCCTCCAAAACTGAAGGACTAATATAAATCACGAACTGATCATTGACTTCCCCAGAGTCAACGATGACCGGTTGACTAAGATTCTGGCTAGACAACCAGAGAACGACGTGGCTGACTTGTTTCTTCGGGTAGTTTAAACTAGGGTAGAGGAAATCCTCCACAAATTTGCTCGTGGAGAGGACTAACCGGGAAGCTTCATCGTTCGACAAGTAGAAAAGATCGAAACGTTTTCCGGCTGGTTTGTCGCGGCCGGGTCCGTTGATGATGGATATTGAGAATCCTTTGGATGCTTCGTGGTTAGCCCATATGGAGATGACCCCAATGGAGACGACGAAAGCTACTCGAAGAATGATTCCATAACTATTTGTTGTTGTTGCTGATGATGATGATGAGAAGATGATTCCGGCAATAGCTGGAGATGTGGTGGAGATGACGTCAACGGCGGCGGCGTCAGCTGTGGAGGTGGAGGAGGATATGAAAGGCTGGAGGAGTTGTTGGTTGTCGTCCTCCATCATTAGTAAGTATTTTAAGAAGTTGAGTTGTATCCAATATTCAATAGGAATGAAGAGAATTTTCCAAAAGGCGCTATATATTTATTTGGAATGGTCCAAAAATGGAGTTGATACTAAATGGAGTGTCATTTTGCGCAACTAATGAAATGACTTATCCATTTGATTTTTTTTTTAAAACAAAAAAAAACTCCCTCTGTCCCAAAAAGAATACTCCACATTAAGTTTTTAAATTTATACGGTTTTTAGTACAAGTCTCAAAACTCAATGTAAATTGTTTTTTTTAGGACGGAGTAAGTAATAATTTTACTCTTTTTTCGTTTTATAAAAGGATAATGTGCGGAGTTACGGTAATATAACAAAATTAATACTATTGTTTCGAATAAAATGAGTACTATATATATTGAAATTACAGATACATTGTCCAGTTTGAAGCCAATCCTAGTGATTATAAATTGTCATTTACACCATTTTAATGTTGTTATTGGTGTTGTTAAATATAAGGGTGATGATTATGCCGAAACAACTTCTAGCATCCAAAATAAATTTTAAATAAATGGACATAATTACCCATCTTAGAAGAATAACTTATTTTCACCTCTTTCAATGTTTCACCTCTGACAGGACTCAAACTTACCAATTGTGGAAGCATGTCTCATCAATTCCAAGTCAAATACTTCGTTGTCCATTCTTCTTTCAGAATGGAGGCAGCCTATTGAGGTAAATCGACACCGTTCATCGCCTATTCCGGCGATTTTCCAGTGAGAAGTTCCACCAATTGCGATCATGTTTGCATTAGCAGTAGGAGTTATTAGTTGCGAGAGGCCGTAATATGAGGTTTTCGCATTTGTATTTTCATCCAGAAATACATTAGATGTCAGATTCCCATGAATAAGGTTCGCCCGAGAATGAAGATGCAGCAGTCCTCTGGCCATCTCCTCCTCCCAAGGCTGCGGCCAAAATTTTGTTGGGTCCATTAATTTCTATTTCCTCTCTCGGCTACCATGGTCCAAAAGCAACCCCGATCTGTAATCATAACCAAATGCAGCCAATCAAACACAATCACATAATCTTCTTCATTCCTAAAAACTTTTACAATAGGGATTTTTCGTTTACTGTGAAAATTGAATGTGTATGAATCAGTCGCCGGCGATTGTGTATAAGAAGGGACTGTCGTGTGGAAGATAAGTGATTAAATTTAAGTTGTTTAATTAATGAGGGTATTTTAGTAAAAGTTACCCTGGATGCTAATTTTTGTTTTGACAGAATCACTGCTCAAAATATAATAGGGTCAACATGGCTTTCATGAAGCTGTAGTTCCAAAAGAGAAAATGGCTAAGGACTGAAATTCTATCATTGATAATACTTGGGAGACAGGGTAGGAGGAACAAGCACAACGAATGGGTTTAAAATGGACACAAAGTCGCCTCAAGGTTGACATATTCAATTCCCACTTGTTAATTGTTTATCTAAACATGCAACTTATATGATTGAGTTTCCCAATTTGCTGAATTAATCTTACATGTCATTGGTGATTGGACCATCGATATTCCATTATAATTTAATATTATTATTCTTTTTCCCCGATACAAAAAGAGAAAGCGTATCCTTAAAAGATTATGTTGGGGATTTCGATCTCCTCTCCACATAAATTGCTGGAAGTTTACTCACTCAACAACATACACATTGGATTAAAAGTAAACAACCTAGCAAAACACAACAAGAAGCACAAACACAACTTACGTGGTTCGATCTCTCATAGATCTACGTCTAGGGGAATAGTAACACTTTCTACTAGTATAAGAATAGAAGAGTTTAGAAAGGTGGAGCCTCTCTCAACACACTATGTCTCTCTCCCTCAATTCTACCCTTACACTCTCCCACAAAGTGTTTCCCATCACTCACCTCCAATGTGCTCCGGGGAAGAAAGATGCACATCACTACACAAAGAAGTAGGAACTAAGAGAGGATCTCCACTCAACTCGATCCTAATTCTACCCCCCTCACTCAAGAGCTCTCTCTCAATAAAGTGGCTACATCTTGCCTCTCTTCTCCCCAAATGATTCTAGTACAAACACTTCCTATTTATATTAAAACCCTACACAACTATTACAATCTTATTGAACTTTAGGCCCAATACATACTTCATGTGCTTGGGAATTTGAGGAGAAACCCAACAAATCCTCCCTCGACTCAAAATCCCAAGTGCATCAACAACATCTTCAAGAACAAGGCTTGTATCTCTATCTTCAACTTGAGCCATTCACCACGAATGTCAAGTGAATCACAAACTTACATCTCGAATCATCAACTCCTCGGAAATAGGATAATCTCTTCATGTGTGGGAATGTCAACAAAACACGCATCTATCTCCGCTTCCATCATCAACACCACAACAGCACTGAGTCATTCTCTACTTGGACATTCCTCCTCCTATCATCTCCTCCAAACTCGTCAAGTCTTCATCATGATAAGGAACCATTCGATGTGACCTCTTCAAACAAAATTCTTCACATAATATTTCACCCACTCGGTTGAGCTTCCACACAAGTCACAATCCTCGCAAATAACTCACCACACACAACTAGTGCGTCAACCTCCAACAACATCTCAAAGTTAAACTAAAGGACTCAATCATCTTGTACCGCTGCTCTTGACAAGCAGGACATGCCGCCTAACCAACATATCAGGTAGACTTTCGACACAAGAAAACCTCACACAAATCCAAATGGTTAAACTTCAAAAGACCTCCACGGTCTGCACACTTCTCTCTCGCACCACATCCTCAACACTTCAAACCACACATCTCTTCATCAAGATTATCTTCCACGAGTAAATCTTGGAACACTACACTCCACCACATCATAAAATTTCAGCACCCACAAAGATTGGAGGCATACACAATCATCTCCACATCTTTAACAACTTTCCTAAAAATTTTTGATGACGTGGCTGTCAACTGATTACGTGGCGGTCAAACTTTGACTTTGACCGATGACGTGGCAGCACAGTCAGCAACACATGATAGACACCACAGTGACATGTGTCATCCACGTGGCACACTCTCAACCATTTAGACGCTGCCACATGGCGGCATCTCAGCAAAACCCTAATCTCTTCATCTTAGCCGCCACTCCAGTGGATGGTCCAGAACGCCTCAATTTCAAACCATGATATTTTAACATCCAATGGTCGGATTCTTCTCAAACTTCATAGCTTTCACAACTCAACAGCGTAGAATCCAAATCTGGTGTCCGATTGGCGAGATTCTGCTCTGGTGGTCAGAAAAAACGCATCGGCCAGAATCCTTCTTTCGACTATTCCTCTCTCACCAGTAGTCCAATACTCACGAAAACTTGGGCTCCCCACGCTTTTTGATATGGGAAATTCAACCATTAACTCTGATATCACAACTCAACATCGTAGAATCCAGAATTGGTGTCCGATTGGCGAGATTCTGCTCCGGTGGCCGGAAAACACTGCGTCGGCCGGAATCCTTCTTTCGACTATTCTTCTCTCTTTGGTGATCCAATACTCACGAAACTTGGGCTCCCAACATTTTTTGATATAGGAAATTCAACCATTAACTCTGATCGGCCAACAAGCACTTTCTTTATGCCAAACCGAAAATCAACTCTTCTAGCCACTCAAAAAACAGTCCCAATTTCGAACCTTAAGCTCTTGATACCACTTGTTGGGTATTTCGATCCTCTCTCCACACAAATTGCTGACAGTTTACTCACTGAACAACACTTGCATCGGATTAAAAGTAAATAACCAAGCAAAACACAACAAGAAACACAAACACAGCTTACGTGGTTCGATCTCTCATAGATCTACGTCCACGGAAATGGTAACACTTTCTACTAGTATAAGAATAGAAGAGTTTACAAAGGTAGAGCCTCTCTCAACACACTATGTCTCTCTCCCTCAATTCTATCCTTACACTTTCTCAGAAAGTGTTTCCCATCACTCACCTCCAATGTGCTCCGAAGAAGAAAGATGCACATCACTACACAAAGAAGTAGGAACTAGGAGAAAATCTCCACTCAATTCAATCCTAATTTTACACCCTCACTCAAGAGCTCTCTCAATTGAGTGATTACATCTTACCTCTCTTCTCCCCAAATGATTCTAGTACAAACATTTCCTATTTATACTAAAACCCTACACAACTATTATAATTTTATTGGACTCTAGGCCCAATACATACTTCATGAGCTTGGGAATTTGAGGAGAAACCCAATAGGTTACATTAATTCTCACATTAGAAACTACTGGACTATAGTAAAAATGATGTCACATATGGCTTAATTTTGGCGCCCTTTGGAAAATGGCAAAGCATAAATCAGATCGCACTGTATACTTTATAACTTATCACCCTCTTCAAAATGGGAAGCGGCGAAGCTTGCAAATACATATATATATATATATATTAATCATAGCACCTTTAGGGAATGAATCTAATTAACCCATCTGGTAAAAGTTTAAACCAAATTTTTTTAACGTGAAAGTATCGAATTCTTAATCAACTATTTCATTGTCAAATGGTTTATTCATTTAATAATGATGATGCACAATATCTCTACCTATTGAAAACGAAAGAAATGGAGAGGTACTTTTTTTCTACATTTAATTTCCTACTATAGTTATGGAAGGAAAGACAATGACCATTTTATATCTTATGCATTATGGAAGATGGTTTTGTGGTCCTTAAAAACAACAGGAATCAGCCAGTGATGATCAGATTACTAGATATAGATAGGACGATTCCAACTTCCAAGTAGATTAGGAGCATGCCCTTTCGAAAATTTCTTTTCCTCAATTAAGACTAACGCATTCATAAGTTAATCCCAAAAAGGAATTTGCGGAGCAAGAACTGATTGTAGTTAGCGTCTTGGTAGACACTACTATAAAAGTTTTTTGTCCTTGCCTTACACATCAAGCAAGAGTGTTTTCGAAATATTTTATTCTAAAAGTCAATGATTTTGTTTTCTCATTTCATCCATCCCGGAAAAAGAAAAGAAGAATCTTATTACATATATATATATATATATATATATATATATACACCGCCCCTTTTCTCTTGTGTACTAAACAATAATCATTATTACCCCACAAATGTTTGTAATTATTTTTAGCTTTTCACTTATTGAGGGGACAAGAGAAATTAAATTGTCAATTTCTTTTCCACAAGTTATGTTGAGTTCTCGAGGTGATTTTATTCCTTTTTGTTTTTCCTTATGATAAAGGAGGAAAAAATTTAAAATAAAACCTTGCTGAGGCAGAGAGCACTTAAGGACGATGATGGCTTCTTAATTTTGCTCCAATGGACTAAAAAAGTCTAGTAAGAGTCTAATGAAGCTTTTACTTTAGTTTACTTTCCGTTCCTCTATTAATATATATATATATATATATATATATATATATATATATATCTATGTTAAGGAATAACACTATTCACTACATCTTGACCTCGCCGCACAACTTCCTTTATCCGTTCATTTTAAGAAAACACAATCAAATAAATTTATTGCAATATGCATTCTAGGTTCCCTTCTAAAATAAGAGTATGATATATTGTATAATTAAAACACTTCATGAAATCAATTCTACCCAAATTATCCGTCTCAAAATAAGAGTGCAATATGTGTTGTGCTAAAAGAGTTCATCAAATTGAATTCTTTTTTAATTAAAATGGAGGCAATACTTGATCAAATACTCCATTCATAGTCTTCAAAAGGAAAAAAAAAAAAAAAATTAAATAAGGGGAAGCAAAAAGAGGAAAGTTAAATTGAAGCTTCTACCAACACCAAAAAACTCAGCAGAATAGCTTCTTCTACATTGCAATAAGCCTACATTACATTACCCCAGTTTTCCTCTCTATTATACCAATGCCTAACAACCTTTCTTCAACCTACATTCAACTCAACTTTCCATACAGAAATCACCTTTCAAAAAGTTCTGCAGACAACCTAAAATCCTTAACCTTATAACACATGTGCTCTCATCTGCTCAGATTAGACACCACTGTTAGGCTTAACAGACAAGACAAGATGTGAAAGTCATAAGCAATGCTGAAAGACAGAGTGGCCCCTGAGCCTGTTGGGGTAATAGGAGGTCCTGCCCCATAAACTCTTGATCCACTTGAATTGGTAGTGTTCAGAATTGAAGAGGTTGTGCTGCAAGAAAAACAAAATATTCATTACACAATCAAAACTTCTTTCTCAATTTACGGAAATTACAGAAAATGGTAACAACGCAGCAAAAGATTAAAGGGTTTTACCTTGTGGACCTATATTGACATGTGCCTGAACCTGCAATTCATGTAACATACAAGAAATCAGTATATTTCAGGAAGGGATTTTCTTGGAGAGTCTGCAAATGAGTAAGAAATTAAAAAAAAATATATATATTTACTTGGATCAGTGTTAGTTGGAACAGCAGTGCCACCAAAATTACAACTATTTGGAACAGGATTCTTCTGATAGTAGCTGTTGAAAGCATAAGAAGCATGATGATTAACTGTGTTTGGATTGTAACAATTTCCACCTGGTTGAATGGCTGCACAATCTGCTCCTCCATAACCACAGGCGTAGTCTAAAGCAACCTGTAACGCCATTGGCGACGCCGAAGGGCTCGCAATGCACCAGCTTGCGCTCGAAGACAGTGGTGATGTCGAACTGCTGGCCGGCGTCATTAATGGATTCATTGGATTGGCTGCAGCAGCTGATTCAGGATTCGAAACAGTTGGGTTGAACGTTGGATTTGTCGCGGTTGGATTCCCGGGGGTTGTTATTGGAAGTGTTGTAATAGGAGTAGTAATGTCTTTCTCTGTTGTGGAGATTGACAATTTGTTTTGCACTACTACTTCAGAGTTTGTGGCAAGTGCTGGTGAAAATGAAAACAGGACAATTCTTTCAGACAAGATCAGATTGAAATCACAAAATCTTAGCTTAATTAAGATTTTCAAACAAGTAATGGTGAAGAAGCAATTTTGCAAAGAAATAGCCAATAGGATCACTCCAAACATTCAAGGTTACAAGAAGGGATCAAATGCAAAAGACAAAATTTCATATTCAAGTAAGCCAGCCATGATGTTACCTCTGAGTGCATTAATATATGCTTTATTGGTAAAAGTAATTGGCCACTAAAAAGCAGGTCCATTTACATATAAAGGTAAGAAAAACCAAAAAATTCCACTAATCCAGAACCCAGAACATGAGTGTTGATTGTCAGCATTCATGCAGAACAGAGAGATTTGATCAATAATGAACCATTAGCTGATGCAAAATGAACATCAAGAAATCAAAACGAGAAAGAACAAAGGCATAAACAAGAATATATAATGCAAGACAGAATAAAGCAGAAAGCATCTCTTAGCTTACAAGAACAACAACACACATTAAACCAAAGAAATTACACTGTCCCAATCAGAGTGTTTGAACAGAAAATATGAGAGCCCATTAGTCACCTGAAATGAGCAAATGTCTCGTCATGAGTTGGATGAATATAACACAACAAAGAACCCTTCTACCCATTCTCCCTAAGTTTCTACCCTCTTCCTCTACTCTGTTTCCTCTGTGATCAGCTAAGCCATACCAAAAGCAAAGAGAAATTTGATGGCAAAATTGGTGAAGAAAGAAAGCGAACTCAGTATCCCTCTCAAATCTATGAGAAGTTGTGAGAAATGAAGAGATAGAAGAGAGAAATATATGAGAAGTTGTGATGAAAAAGAGAGAAATGAAGAGATAGAAGAAGAAGAAGTGGAAATTTTAGACATGAGATGAGAGGACATAGAGGGAGCAAGAGAAGGGGAAACAAAAGTTGTAACAAAAAGGTTGGCAGAGAAAGGTGGAAGGAGGAGAAGAAAAGAGGAATAATTTTTGGAATTTTTGAGTGTGTTATATTGGTTGAGCTTTGAAGTAGTGATGATAGTAATGATGGTGATGATATGGTTCGATTTCTCTTTTTTCTCTCTTTATTAGCTTCAACTTTTGTAGACTATGATTCACAGGAACAAATCCCTTTCTGAATCTAAACCACCACCCCTTACTACTGTGGCCAATAAGAAAAATCTCTAAGCCTTTGTTTTTATTTTAGGACGAAAAGAGGGAGAGAATGTTACATATTTGTAACTAGCGATTGTTGAGTAAGATATTTCTGAATCTAACACATGATATATTGATATTTGAAACTAGCGAACTAGTAAAGTTGCTATTAGGACAAACTCGAATCCAAATTACTTTCAATCCAAGTTCTTTTATGTATTGTTGAAAAACGTTTATCACTAAGATAAGATCGATTGCTTATTAAAAAAATTAAAAACTATAATAATTCTACGAATAACTGTTCATTAGCTTAATGAAATTATGGACCATTTATGGTCCCGCCATAAATTTTCTTGTATTCAAAACTGAGGTTTCCCAAATTTGTCCACCCCCTCCTCAACCTGAGGCTCTTTTTTTTTTCCCCAACTCACAAAGAAGTGCAAAAAGGGGTGCAAACTTGTTTCTTGCTAGTCAAAAAAGATTCCCAATTTCATCTTTTTATCTATGTAACAACTTACATGTGAGGTTAGGATTCTCTTTCTCTATTAAGATCCATAATACTATAGTAATGTGCCCGAATTGATCCTGGTGTTTTCACTTTTCCAACCTTTGTTAGTTGAACCATCTTTAATCAAGAATTCCCTTTAAGATTGGAGAAGGTATTGATGATCTTTTGCAACAAATTCCAGTAGGGTGAGGAATTTAGGATGTGTTGAATTAAAATTGTAGTTTATGAGTTATAATAGCACATTAAACGATAATTGTCTACTTCATTCAACTGATCAAATTTTCATTGAAACACCGTTGAAATAAAATTTCTTATAAAGGACAAGTCATTGTAGTAGGTTCCTGTTTGAACACTTGAAATGGAAACCCCACATTTTTCATGCTTTGTCAAGAAAAAAGCCCACAGAATTTCAACAAACATTGAAAGTACTGCGGTGCAAAGAAAAATTTTCACATACACAGTCACACACAGTCACACACTATAAACTAATTTACTAACGTATATATTAGTTTTGAAATACACTAGAGTCGCGGCTACATCTACGCTAAGAAAAAGTGGCATAACTTTTTATGTGGAAAAAGAGCCTCTAAGTGAAAGTAATTGTTATGTATCCTACATCGATGGTGGGAGAGACTTGATATCAATATATAAGTCTATGGAGTAAAGCGGGTTTTAATCCGCGGACTTGTGGGACGAAATGGACTGACCCAAATTGGGTCTTGAAACTTTGACTAACTCAAGGAAGAAATCCGAGGTTTGACTTTGAACTTTGACTGGTCTGGCAGGCGACGGTTTATCCGGAAAAATAATCGATCGCAAGACTGAAAAAAAATCAGAAAAAAAAAAATATAAAATTACCCATCCAAGCTCATTGGCTTTGAGAGGGGCGTGTTAAATGAATGAAAGAAAGAAAATGATCTCATGTTCCCTTGTCCCACTATATTACCCTATGTGCTACTCCCCTCATTACCAATTGGTTTTGAGGTGGAACCACATGTGGACTTATATCTGGACCTTCAAAATAGTATCAGAGAGACAGGTGGAACCCGTGGGCTTCTATAGTAATTATTCAAACTGATGAAGATTTATGGTTTAAACTTTAAAGTGAGGTTTGGATATCCACAAATCCAAGTCTAAAAAGCCCTCTAAACATGTATACTTTTGACCAATGGATACCAGAAATTTCTAATGCCACTATAAAATATTGCTTCCTTTTATTTTGTTAATGCTCCTTTTGAATTTGGTTTCAAGTAAAAGTGACTTCGTGTTTGTTGTACAAATGGCCAAGCTTTAAATTTTAATTAGAAGAATGTTTTAGACAAAGACCATCAACACCAACAATTGCGGTTGATAATGGCTTTAAGATTCTGGTGTAATATAATAGTGTAATAATCCTTTTTTGTCATTATAGTGTAATGTAATAGTGTAATCCCTTTTGTCCTTCCACATCTTGTTCGCAAAAATTCTTAAATACTGATGTTGAGTGTTCTTTTATATATATATATATATATATATATATATATATATATATATATATATATATATATATATGGAATGGCTAGAGTCCCGTAACATGGCGGTTCTGTTTAATATTACCAACTATTGGATTAGAAGAACATACTACATCCGTTAGATTAAAATCAAAGTGTGTGAAAATAAAATACTCTCTGTTGCACTTGATTGTTGCAAAATAACCTCTAATCTATCAAACCCATGTCATTAATAGGCAAATCGAAAATCCATTTGATAAACATCAAAGAACTACTGACGGCGGCGTCAAAATTTTGTGTTCCTATCCAAGTTTGATACTAGTTTTTCATTTTTTCCTTATGTGATATTTCAGCGGGAAGCATTAATTAATTTTGTATGTCTAAGCACGGTTGCTACTGATAATTTTCTTTGCCTTCTGTTCAAAGTAGTTGTTTTGAAAATGCGACCAGATTAACAATCCTAACTGAAAACTCAAAACCCACTCTCTTCCCCATTTGCAACCGGATCGCCGTCAAAACGATTTAAAAAATCTGGAGTTTTTATACATGCCTAGAAATGAAAAAAAATGAATAATCCATTTAACTCCTTCGTAGACGTTGCAACATACGTCTGGGTGGAACTCCGACTTCCGGACGGGAGCATTTAGATTCTTCCGATTCACAGACGGTGTGTTTTTAGATAAGTGTGCTTCACCGGGAAACTCCAATTAAGAAATCCTGCACTTGCTTCCTCTGCTTAATGATCCCAAAGGAGCTGGAACAATGTTGCTTAATTTCCCATGGATCGTGAATATGAACAAAGGGGAAAATGACACGGAAAAAAAAAAACCCATAAAAATCTGGAACAAGTCCGAATCGAAACGTGAACCGCCTGAGTAAGCTCGTTCTTAAATTCGTCAGACTCGGCAAGAATTAGACTATTGGGCAATAAAAATTATTTTTGGGACAAGTTACTATGTTTCTCATCACATGAACATATTCTATACCCTTAATTGTGATTGGTTGGAAAAAAACGGGACGGTTCCGTTAAAATAGATAACGAGACTCTAGATTTTCCATATCTATATATATATATATAATTAATTTAATGTTTTTACTTTATATATATATAATTTTATGTTTTTACTTTTTTTTTATTGCCATAGGTTAAGGAATTGCATGAACAGTTCAACAGAAGCTAGTGGTGTGCACGGTTTAGATGGTTCGGTTTTTAGTTTTAATCATAAACCAAATCATTAGAACGGTTTGAACCGTTTTGAATTCAAAACCGAACCGTTCCACATTTGAAAACTGGACCAAATCAATCCGTAATTAATGGTTTAATTTTGCGGTTTCACGGTTTTGCTCTCGCTTTAAAGTTTTTTTCTTTGGCCAAATTATTATTTTTTTAGGCCAAAACTTGAGCCTTTCATTTTTTTTCTTTGGCCAAATTATTATTTTTTTAATTTGCAACAAAAAAATACATAACTTTTTTTTACCAATTTCAATTCAACATATGAAAAAGTTAACGGTCGAAAACTTTGAATTAAGAAATAAGAATTCAAATAGTTACGTTTCAACTTTCAAAAGCCCAAAAAAATATTTTAAAAAAGTAAAAAAATGGTCGAAAAAACTTTTGAAAGAAAACAAAAGGAATACTGTAGAAAAGAAGGGGAAAAAAAATGGAGGACGAGAGCTTTTGAAATTCAAAAGAAAAAAATAAAAAAAGGGTAAAAAAAAAAACCCAAGAAAAGAGGTTTAAAGGAATTAAAATTGAGCCTTATGACTAAACATGATATTGAGTTAAATAAGTCTATTATCTCACAAGTGTTGAGTTGTGATTAATACTATATATTTCTCGGGTAATGATTCTGCCAAAACAATTTTTAGCATCCAGGACAAATTTAAAATAGAAAGACATAATTACCTATCTTCAATGTTACATCACTTTTCACCTCCTTTCACCTCTGGCGGCGGCTGCAGCTTCTCCTCCATCCTGGGCACGAATCTGAAAAATTGTCTTTCTCAATATTCAGACATTTTGCCAATCTCACAAACAGCCCATGGTTTTCAATTTTCATATTCTCAACTGCAAGAAAGAAGAGTAATTTCATTGTTTCTTCTTATCTCTTTGAAAGTATTATCTAGTTGATACCAAAATTTGGCTTTGGAAGAAAATTGTTTGAAATCTTTTTCCGTCAATAGATTTGCTGATTCACTGAAGAATCACAAAATTCTAAACCATTGTGGTGCAAACAATATTGAAAAGTGAAGGTCATAACGAAATTTTGCATTACCTTTGTGATTTTTTTTCCTAAGATTGATGTGTAATTCGCTTCCCCTCTCTCTCCGCCATCAATTCACATTAGATTGGATGGGTTCTCATTACATTTGATTCGCATTAGATTAGATGTGTTCTCAACTCAGTTGATTGGTGAAGTAGATTAGATTGAATGGGTTCCCAATCTCCTATGTTTTCTATCCGATTCCAAAAATTTGAACCCTCTTAGAATATAGAACTTCAGCCAATTAGTCAAAACGAGAACTCGAAATAATTAATAGGCTTTAACTAACCATCAAGATGAAAGATGAAATTCAATTGCTGTAGCCCGAGGGGTTGATGAGAGGTGGAAGACAATGATTAGTACCAGGAATTTGATGGTGGGTAATTGTATAATTTAATATTAAATTTATACTGGATGCTAAAAGTTGTTTTGTTTTGGCAGAATCAACTGCCGTTTCTATGTATATAAAAATTCTAAAATATGTACCTATTACTAAACGGTACGGTCCGGTTTAATCTATGGATTTTGTATATAAAACCGTAAACTAAACCGTTCATTTTGGTTTTCAAATTTTGAAACTGTCGATTTCAAAATAAAACTTTAAAACCAATCCAAAATTCAAACTGCGGTCCGAATTGACCGGTTTGGACCAATCCGTGCACACCCTTAGAAACCACCACTTCTGTCTATAAATAAAGGTTCTTCCATTTTAGAAAAATAATTTATTTTCTTAAACTAAAACAACATAACAAAATAGATTATTTTTATTAGAATGCAATTTTTCTTTAACAAAAAAATCTCTTATTTCATAATGGAGATTGTTTTTTACTGTTATTATGGAAGATGGACATTGAGCTTCAGAAAGCATGGTTCAAGTTTGCTTTGGAATATCTATTAGAAGAATATTTATGTTACACGTAAATAAGACAAATATTCGATAAACAAAATGATGATTTCGAGATATGAAATATAAATGGTCCCGACTCCCGATTTCAGACAACTGAGGCTAAGGCCATCTTCAACCCAATACTTTAAATTACAGTGCAATATACTTTAAATTAGAGTATCAATAGTATTTTTGCAGTAATCTTTCTCCAATCCAGTAACTCTATATTCTACCCAAAAAAAGAATATTTTCTTTATATTCTTCTTTACCTTTTATTATTTTACTATAATTATTAGTATTTCAAATAATAAACATTAAGCAATAGGAAACATGTATAAATCATTTAAATCCTTTATATTGTGAGGTCTTATGTATAAGTATTATTTTTTCTTCATTGAAATACTTTTATATAATCTAAATGTATCAAATGACAAATACAATGATATAAACTATTACAAAATGCCAAATTTTTATTGATAATTAAAGTTTCAAAGGCTCACAAAATACAGATTACTTAAAAATATATAAAGATACATTTTAAAGGAATAATTTTATATAATTTAAATGCATCAGATTACACATGAAAATTATTAGTACAATAAATTTTATTGATAATTAAATTTTGAAAGGGATGCAAAACACTGATGATATTTAATTTTATAGAATGGGAAAAACGGACATAACAAAAAAAGAAAAAAGGTTGAAAATAAATGAAAAAACGGATCAGAGGAAAAAAAGAAAAGATAAGCAACGAAAATAGTGGAGCCCACGTATTAAAAAAATGGAAAAGAGAAAATAAGTAATGAGGGTCCACCATTGAACAAGAGTAGCGTCTTCTTAGCGTTACTCTATATCTCCAGTGGCAGCCGCGGGTACTGGAATTCACAGCACCATTTACAGTACCGATTGGAGAGTCTTGATACTGTTAAATCCAGTAAAAAGTGCATTTTCAGTACCGGTTGGAGATGCTGTAAGCAATGATTGGAAAACCTTATCCATATTTGCAGTTTAGCCATCGGTAGAATTCACAATTTCACATTTGTGGTTGAATAAACTCCCTGACATTCAGACAGCCATTTCTCTTTCTCAGTTGTGTTGATTCCATCCGTTAATTGCTTTCCGCAGAAATCAGAAGAATTACCGATCAAATGCTAAAATGTTGCTGTTCATATGTTCCAACATCAACCTCAATTTCAAAGTTCATCTCAGAACAGCCATACCTAATCATGCTAGAAACCAAGTGTTCTAACATGAGAGACCTCAAACTGATTCATGCCCAGCTCATTAAAACTGGCCTAATCAAGGACAAGATTGCAGCTAGTCGTGTTCTAGCCTTTTGTGCCTTATCTCCAGCCTGTGATATGAACTATGCTTATTTAGTCTTCAGCCGGATAATGAAAAGAAATCTTTTCATTTGGGACACCATTATTAGAGGCTTCTCTCAGAGCTCATTCCCGCAATTGGCATTATCTATCTTCATTGAAATGTTGGAAAGCTCACCAATTCAGCCGGACAAGCTCACTTATCCTTCTGTGTTTAAGGCTTATACTCAGCTAGGATTAGCTGCAGAGGGAGCCCAACTTCATGGGAGGATTATGAAATTAGGACTGGAATCTGATCCCTTTATTCGAAATTCGATGTTAAACATGTATGTGAATTCTGGGTTTTTGAATGAAGCCAGGAAACTGTTTGAGGAAGATGAGGTTGAAGATGTGGTGGCCTGGAATTCAATGATTTCGGGTTTGGCCAAATGTGGGGAAATCGATGATTCGTGGGAATTGTTCAACAAAATGCAATTCAGAAATGATGTTTCTTGGAACAGTATGATAAGTGGTTTTGTGAAGAATGGGAAATGGACAGAGGCATTGGATCTTTTCAATCAAATGCAAGAGGAAGGATTTGAGCCAAGTGAGTATACAGTAGTTAGTTTGCTGAATGCTTGTGCATTCTTAGGAGCACTGGAACAAGGAAAATGGATCCATGAGTATATTATGAAGACAAACAGTATCAGGATGAACGGCATTGTGATAACAGGACTGATTAACATGTACTGCAAGTGTGGAAACATTGAGATGGCTCGTAAAGTGTTTGAGACAGCACAAACGAAAGGGCTATCATGTTGGAACTCGATGATATTTGGCTTAGCGATCAATGGATTTGGCAATGAAGCGATACAGTTATTCTCGAGGCTTCAATCCTCAAATCTTGAACCTGATTCTGTTAGTTTTCTGTGTGTCTTGACTGCCTGCAATCACTCTGGTTTGGTTGATGAAGCAAGGACCTATTTCACGTTAATGACAGACACATACAAGATCAAACCTACAATTCAGCATTTTGGATGCATAGTCGATACACTAGGACGAGCAGGACTCCTTGAAGAAGCAGAGGTGCTGATTAACAGCATGCCAATTAGTCCTACTGCCTGCATATGGGGATCTCTTTTATCATCTGCTCAGAGCCATAGGAACTTTGAGATGGCTGAGCGGGCAGCTAAGCATTTAATTGAGTTGGATCAAGATGATAGCAGTAGTTATCTTTTAATGTCCAACGCTTATGCAGCGTCGGGTAAATTTCTGAAAGCAATGCAAGAAAGGCACTCAATGAAGGATAAGCAGATAATGAAGCAACCTGGTTGTAGCTCAATTGAAGTAGATGGGGAAGTTCATGAATTTCTAGCTAGCGGAACGTTGCACTATCAAGTCAATGAAATATACTCGTTACTGAACTAAAAGTAAGCAGAATGTTCAAGTTGGCAAACTCTACACCATGTGCAGCCTTCATTGTAATCTCTTCTTCCTGGGCATCTAAACAGCAAGCTGTGAAGTAATCCTATTCATATTCAAAATGACAACATGCATTTTTTTTTTTTGGCTAGACTTCTATGGGACAGCAGTAATCCAATCCCGAAGAAAAGATTATGTGCAGTGTTTCAATTTGTTTTCCCCAATTATACAATATAGAGCTGAATAAGAGAACTAAGACAATTACATACTTTGAAATTGCATCATTCATATGACATTGAGAGATAACTGAGATTGTTTCATTAAATATCTTTCTGAAGGCTTATTAATGACATTATGATTTTAGCTCAACTGGAATAGATTTAGGAACAATAAGGATATCTACTGTAGAAGGCAATAGACATGAGAGAAAAATTGGGTGACAAGTAGGCAGCAATAATAAATAATCATGAAAAAAATATTAATCTTATTAGGGATGCAAACTTAACCATCTCCTAATCAGTATTCATTCTTTTGGGTTCTAGAATTGATTTATAGAAATATCTCCTACTTATAGCCATTCTCTAAATGCAGGTAACCATTCTATCAATTTCTCAAAAACAAGTAAAGCAGTGAAGTGATGGAAGGTGCTGCAGACCTTACACCTAAAGTTGCATCAAATGGCAACATGGAACACGGTCCAGAGCTAGATGGAGGCAATAACCACAGGGCTGGAGTGGATGCAAGGGGCCTGCTTGTCACTCCAACTACACTGCCAAAGGCAGTGAAATCACATTCCTCAACAGGTGATGGAGAGACACTACGAAGACCTCGTGGGAGACCAGCAGGATCCAAGAATAAGCCCAAGCCACCAATCATCATCACCAGAGACAGTGCCAATGCACTCCGAGCACATGCAATGGAGGTGAACTCTGGCTGTGACGTCAATGAAAGCTTGGTGAGCTTCGCCAGGAGGAAACAACGAGGAATATGCGTGCTTAGTGCAACAGGCTGTGTAACAAATGTCACATTACGCCAACCTGCTTCATCAGGAGCGATTGTAACGCTTCATGGCCGATTTGAGATCCTCTCGTTGCTTGGATCAGTTCTGCCCCCACCAGCACCACAAGGAGTTGCTGGCCTTACCATCTATTTAGCAGGGCCTCAAGGGCAGGTCGTAGGTGGGGCTGTGGTTGGTGCACTCATTGCTTCAGGCCCTGTGGTGATCATGGCCGCAACTTTTATGAATGCAACTTTCGATCGCTTGCCTCTAGATGATGATGAAGTGGTTACTACTGCAGCTCAGAACCAGCAGTACCAAAACGGTAGGCAACGACACCATGTTGATGCTTCGGAAATCTACGGATTGCCACAAAACTTGATCACTAACGGCACTTTACCTCCTGAAATGTACTCCTGGGCGCCAGGGCGTGCTCTATCCAAATCCTAGATACCTGAGGTAACCAAGGAAAAAAGTTTCTGTGCAAAAGCACATCATTAGTGAGAACCCATTAACCTTATCATTTCGAAACTATCATTTCACAATGAATATAAAATATTGTAATCCTTTGTCTTTCACATCATGTGATACTAATTGCGCAAAATGGCCTTACTCCAATTACACTAGCATATAATGACCAACGGTCACGTCATGAAATTTCATCTTCAGAAAGGTCAGAAGATCAACTTACAAATAGCCATTCAGCTTAATTTCATCCTTTTCCTACAAGCCGGATCAATAGCAACTGAAAAAAGAAAAAGATTTGATCTTTATGCAAACAATGGTTCCATTTTGTCTTATTTTCTGCTTATTGGTAGCTCAAACAATACAAAAATATGGAGGGGTTAAAGAATAAAGTATCCAATAGGGGTTTAATTGAAGAACAAATTCGATGAATTGAGTAAATTGCCAGTTATTACCCGGTGATTTGATGGTATCAACCCGAACTTTTTAAGGCAAAGCCCAGTTTGAACTTTGAACTTCAAACAGAGTAGAACGCAACCAATGAAACCAAGCCATCGGGCCGTAAAGCTATAAAGGCGTGTCTGAACGACGCCGTTTGTGTCGTCGGAGGAGCGGAGGCAACCGTAGCGTCCGGCGAACATTTTTGGGGACGCAGGGAACCGACGAATCAGGGGAAGTTCTTCCCAGCATAGACATGAGGCGATGAAGGCGTGATAAGAAAGCCCGTTGATTGTAGCGCCTTCTAATAAAGCGTGCTAAATGTGGGAGGGATAATGAAAGGCGCTGCTTTCTTCGCAGTAATGGAATAAAGGCGTGATCCGGTGAGGAAATCGAGTACATACACAAAAGAAAACAATTCGATCTTGAGTTTCACTGAATAGGGATTTGAACTAGATATAAATCGTTGTCAATTTAGAACAGTTTACACTGAATAAATGTTACGATCAAAGATATGCTCTCTCTGTCCAAAAAAAAAAAAACACGTTATATTAAATTTTGAGATATGTACTCAATCTAAAAACTCGATAAAAACTCTTTTTGGAGACGGTAAGAGTATATTATAGCAACGAAGTCGTAACATTCTTATACAAATAAAATCATTTCATTAACAGGTACGAGTTGCATAGACAAAGTATAACCGGCTCAAAGTCTGACAGAATATGATGTGTTATCCAAACCTCCAACAACCTAGTTACTAAACCGAAAAGTGAGGATAAAAAATGATGTAGTAGTATCTAGTAAATATAGCTAGCAACCAAAGCTTGTTTGTATGAATTGAGGACTATAGGCATCCTGAAGGGAGTTGTTCACCAGATGCAGTACCATGAACATGAGAACAACTTGCAGTTGCAGGCCCTCCAACACCGTTGTATCTCAAGTTGATGTCCTCAAGCTTCACATTCCGACACGGCACTACCTCACTGCACTGTAAAGATACCGCAACCTTTGAGCTAGATGTTCCCTGAATGTTCCTGTAAGTAACGTTGTTGATCTGCACTTGTGACCTCGATCCATCATCCTAATTAAACATCATCAACATCAACAATATAAAATTCTGTTAATTAAATAAAAAAGGGGGAAAAACAATCCAACCAAAGTGGATTACTTATCTCAAAAAAAACAAAAAAGTTCAACTAAAGAATCCACGTCTAGTTGTGTTTTTCTGACTGTATTTCTTGTTTTTTAATATAAAACGTTTTCTAGCAAACTCATTAATGAACTTATGTTTTACACGACCCATTATATTTAATTGAAAGAGGAACTAAATTTTGATTTTGGAACGGAGGGAGTAACATTCTACCTGGAACCCGCAATACGGGCAGTATTGTTGATCAATGAAGATGGGGTTGTTAACATTCTCCATACGGATATACTGAAAGACAATATCAGAAGCCAAGCTGGGAGAAGAAGGCGACCAAGTCTTGATCCTCACCCCATTCTGGGTACCCGTAAAGTTGGTGTTGGAAACCGTGATTCCCTGAACATGTTGGTCGGTTGATTGCCGGCCGAGGCTCCCGATGCTGATTCCGTGGCCGGGGCCACATTGGACTTGGTTGATATCAATGTCTTTGCTCCCGAAGACCATGGCTATGCAGTCGTCGCCGGTTTCGATCTTGGCTCCAAGGATCTTGACGTCGGTTGAGTTCCCGATCTTGATTCCGTCGGTGTTGGGGCTTCCTTCCGGTGCGGTCAACCGAATGTGGTTGATGTGAAGGCGCTGGCATGCGAAAAGGTGGATGTGGGTGTTTTTGCTGTCGATTGATATTATGTTCTGGACAGTTGAATTGGTTATGAAGTCCAGTCTCAAATTCTGGTCTCATACATAATCAAAGCAGAATTAAGAACATTGTTAGTACAATGGATATATTAAAGTCCAAAAAATACATTAGTATTAGCGAAATATCACAAATTCGATAACCACCAACTGTTACCAATCTCCATTTCCCCTGATTGGGAAAAAAGGACAGAAATGTAATACTCCCTCTGTCCCAAAATTATTGTCTAGTTTGAGATTTCATTTTTAGTGCAATCTGAACTAAAAATGAAAACTCAAATTGGACAATAATTATGGGACGGAAGGAGTATGAAATAAAAGTACAATTATGTAGGTAAAGAATTGAAGTAGTAACTTTGGGGAATAACTTCCATCTCATTATTATGATTAATTTTGTAACTATCTTATATCCCCTTAGCATAAAGAAGAAAGAGAAGAAAAAACCTGAAAAGACCGAACAATTATAACTTAACTCATTAAGTTTTAAAATGATTATCTCCCTCTTGAAATAAGAGTTATGTTTGTTGAACTCATCGTACATTTTAGAACGGGGAAAAAGTACTACTTACCACAGGAAGAACGGGGCAGGACGAGGTCCTGTTGCAAGTGTTATACTTCCAAGCAGACGGACCTTGGCCATCCAGAACACCTCCTCCAGTTCCGTGGGAACCTCCTTCTAATGTCAAACCATCAATAAATTGAAACCCGATCCAAGTATCAATGTTCAAGAACTGTGAAGGAGATGTTGGACCCCTAAGACTCCCTTCAATTCTAAACGTTATTCTTCCTAAACATGGACCCATGAATGTCACCGAATTCAACATGTATCTTCCCCTTGGAACCAATACTTTACTCTCCCCAAACCCCCATTGACACGCTGCGTGCCACGCTTTTAGAAATGCCTTCACAGAAAGAGAAGAAAAAAAAACAGTAAATCAGAATGTCTTATTACTAACGAAGCGAAAAATTAAAAACGTTCAACTCATTCTAAAATCATTTTATTAACATCAATCGTGTCGTGTTAGTGATATGATATATGTAAAATGTAATCGGAATGGAACTGACCTTGCTGTCATCGCTATGTCCATTGGCTCTAGCCCCATAGTCCCTTACGTTGAAGATTTTAGGACCCGAATTTTGATATGCAAAAACACTGCTCCATAACAAAATGGGGATTAATAAAGCAATCCCAAATGTAGGAATTGAAGCCATTTTCTTTTGATGATTCTCGGCTATTTGGTTTAACAAAATCTGGCTCGTTTTGTTTTCCCTTAATTTACGTATATATAGAGGTGATTAATTTGTAGCTGCTTACATTTGGTAGATAATGGGTAGGTACCGTTAATTGCTTAGTAAATGCTGAAAATTGTCTTGTCCTTATTGTGTTTTTTGTTTGTGGGGGAAAAATCATTATTGCTATTTATTTATACATATTAATTGCTGTTAATCCAATCTGAGATTGGGGAGCTTGCATAAATCATCCTCAATGGTGGAGTATAATTTATTTCTATACATTGACCTTCCCGAATCCCAATTTCAATTATATGAAATGAATGCAAAAATAACAACAAATTCATCAACAATTATTAGAGCCACAAAATTAATATTTTATTATGGATTTTCCTTACGATTGGATTAAAATTTTTCGGAGGGAATTATATATATGCATCTGCTGATGATGGTATTCTAGCTTGTGAAACGATCAAGTGAAATGAACGACTTAATTTACAATGAAAATTTAAAATATATGTCGTGTCTATACGTGAAACCTATTATTTTAAGTAAAATGGGGGTTATTATTATTTTTTTGGGGGGTGTTTATGGTGAGTTAATTACACATCATTTCTGTTTCAAATTTTGTAGATTTGTTGTAGCAAATTTGGTCGTTCATAGTATTTTTTATAATTAAGACATTCTGTTACTCTAAATCCTATTTGCAGTTATATACTAAGGACAAATAACACATCAAGAAAAATATCTGTATACAATGAACATCTCTCATTCTATGTCCGATCCTCCATTGTTCATTAATCAAAAAAAAATTTCCTAAATTAATCAATTTGAAGATCTGAAGGTTCTCATTCAATTATCACGATAGTGCTGCATCCTTTAACAATCATATCACGATAGATACTTTTTCCCTTTTTTTTGACTGCAAATACACCCTTAATTAACATTAATTTCAAATACATGAACCTAATGAGAACCTATAAAATTATTATCGTGATATTTGAAATTAATATCACGATAGATATTAAGGGTGTATTTGAAATTATGATGATTGATGAACACTCACCTTGAGTGTTCATCAATCATCATCAGCACATCCCGTCAATTTTCAATAGTGGCTAGTTTTGTACTCGGTCTACATGAAATATCATCAAGATTAAATGTCATACTAGCTCTTTCTTCTGTTTCAGTGAGTAGTAATTTAATTACCTTTCACTTTTGATGAATAAAAAGGAAGACGGAAGGTTAGGAGTAAAAACTAAAAATTAAGGACCGGAAGTTTAAGAAGTGAAGTACTTATGACTTCTAAATACTAACTCCTAATTGAAGTTCTTTAGTGCATCAGCAACTGTGCGTTATGTTAGTCGAGAAAAAGTAAAATCATCGAATGAAAAATACTACATTTGGATAGTCGATGGGTAGAATTCACTGAAAAGATATATACATGAAAACCATTTTAATCAATACAGAAAATGAATATCAAATTACATAAAATTACGAGTCGTAGGGAAATATAATTAGAGTGATGATTTAATGATGGGATAGAAAGTAATCGGGAAAAATTTTCAACGGCGAATAAGAGTAATGTTAATTAAGAAGTTATTTTTAAACGTCGGGAGCATCATGTCAGATTATATATATAGTTTAACATATGATTGGTTCCAAACAAATAGTTGTTGACGTTGATAATGAAGGGTGGTTAAATTGGCTAAGTCGGAAGAAGAGATTATCGGCGTACATAGTTATTCCTTCTGTACCAAAATTATTATTCAATTTGAAATTTCACTTTTAGTGCAATTTGAACTAGAAATAAAAACTCAAACTAGACAATAATTGGGATGAAGGGTGTATTTGATTAAAACCATCAACGAATTGTTGGGGAAGACAATGATTAATGGATTCGCGGGTTGATATAAAATATGATTAAATCGCAACATTATCGGTGTCTCTCATGCTCATATAATATGATTGTTTATTTTATTAGACGTTCGGGAAAAATTTTCAACGGCGAATAAGAGTAATGTTAATTAAGAAGTTATTTTTAAACGTCGGGAGCATCATGTCAGATTATATATATAGTTTAACATATGATTGGTTCCAAACAAATAGTTGTTGACGTTGATAATGAGGGTGGTTAAATTGGCTAAGTCGGAAGAAGAGATTATCGGCGTACATAGTTATTCCTTCTGTACCAAAATTATTATTCAATTTGAAATTTTACTTTTAGTGCAATTTGATTGAAGGGTGTATTTGATTGAAAAATTTTCAACGGCGAATAAGAGTAATGTTAATTAAGAAGTTATTAGTCGGGATGTTAATTAAGGGTGTATTTAAGGGTGTATTTGAAATTATTAAGGGTGTATTTGAAATTAATGTTAATTAAGGGTGTATTTGAAATTATTAGTCGTGAATGAGAACCTATAAAGGGAAAAAGGGAAATTAATTTAGGAAATTAATGTTAATTTCCTAAAAATTATAAAATTATTAATAACACATCAAGAAAAATATCTGTATACATCATTTCTGATATATACAGATATCAGAAATCATCAAAAGTGTATGGGTAAACGCTTTCAGAAATCATAAGTAACCTATAAATCATCAAATGAAGAGCTAAACGCTTCTTCATTGCTTGACTTGCAGTTGCGATTCTTCACATCATTTTCTTGGATGTCAAATACTATCATTTTTATTTTTTTTTGAATGGCAGCCCATTGGTAATGGTGTGAAAGTCTTCTCACTTGATTTTAGGTTTCTAGAAAATGCAGATTCACATCAAATAATACTAACACTTTCTTGAGAGGGTTGGGGTGATAATTAAGAGGGTTATTTTTACTTGCCCCAGTGAAGAATCTGAGAATTTCCAAGTCCAAAAACCTAAGATAACAAGTTGGGGAGTTGTAAGTTCAAACTTCGAAGTCAGTGAATGAAGAACATTGCCACATTGGGGGTAAAGCTCCAACCCCCAACCCCTGAAATGCTTGACCGGTAGTTGCAGGTCACAACTTGGATGGCAACTATGTCTTTCAAGCAGAAATAACTTTTGAAGAAAATGAGGATCCATTTCAATGGATGAACCACTTCTCTCCAAAGAGCAACCACAAGAAAGAAAACTGTCCTTCCAAGATCCAGAGAATAGCCCGCTTCAGAGCCAATCCAGCCACCACCACTTCGACAACAACACTGAACCCTTACTTCCCTCAACATCTAATTCTTCCTTAGCAAACCATTTAGTTAACTGTAACAAGAAGCGAAATCTTATCCGGAGATCAAACTCTGCTCCTTCCATATTATCAGACGTGAAGGTAGGCCTTCGGGATTCATTAGACTCGATAGCTTCCATCAAATCAGTACCTCTAACTGTGAAGCAAGCTTTAGCTGGAGTAGCAGTATACAAAATGATCGGCGTTTTAATCTACCTGCTCAAATGGAGAAGTTTCAGGGGAATAAAGAGCTGGAAGCTTGTTGATGCTTTATACTTCAATGTGGTCACTCTATGCACCATTGGTTATGGTGACATAGTTCCAGACACAACGTTTACCAAAATGTACACCTGCGGCCTTATTCTAATTGGTTTCGGATCTATTGACATATTGCTAAACGGATTAGTTAGCTACGTTCTTGACCGGCAGGAGGCAGTTTTGCTCAGTATGGTTGATCAAGACGGGTTAACTACTGTGGTCCGAACTTATATGATAGATACTGCAAAAGGTAGAATGAGAATACGAATCAAAGTGGGATTGGCTTTGGTAGTGGTAGTTGGCTGCATAGCCTTAGGAACAGTTATGGTGCATATTTTAGAAGAACTAAGTTGGGTTGATAGCTTCTATTTGTCTGTATCATCAGTCACTACAGTTGGCTATGGGGACTATGCCTTCTCAACACTAAGAGGAAGGTGCTTTGCAATTATCTGGTTGTTGGTGAGCACATTGGCTGTAGCAAGGGCCTTTCTGTATCTAACAGAGCTCAGGATTGACAGGAGAAACCGCAAGATGGCTAAATGGGTTCTTGAAAGAAAGATAACTCCTGAGGATCTGGTAGCTGCAGATCTTGATCATAATGGTTCTATCAGGTACACTACGAAGTTCCCATGAATTTTTTCTCTGGTTACGTGAGAACCTTTGGCTCCTCAATAACCATCATTTGATTAGTTTTCTTAAAGTTATTGTAGATTTACCTCTTCCAACGAGAACACAACTATAGTCAGAGTCCAGTATAAGATGATTATCAAACTTCATTCGATGCATAAAACACAAGAGTATTACTAAGACATTCCTTTCTTATTATCCTCAAGGACGTGTAAAGAAAAATCAGGATCAAACTTAACATTTAACTAGAGGAATATCCTGTTATCTAGAATGTTGTGATTGCACTAGTCATCAGAAAAACAAAATTTATCTTCATCATAATCATCACCTTTGTTACAAACTTTGCATGCTGCAGAAAATCTGAGTACATCATTTACAAGCTGAAGCAAATGGGCAAAATTGCAGACAAAGACATTCAGCAAATTGGCAAACAATTTGACATGTTAGATAGCAGCAACTCTGGTAAACTTACTCTAGCAGACATAATGCGAAGAAAGACCACTCCAAACACAGCTTCAGAGGCTGCAGAATTTGATATCATTGAATCCAGGATCCAGGTCAAAGTTCTATAGAGAAAAGGGACGCCGGACATGTCAAATGGATCAGAACTTTTCTAAGTGACTTGGTATCCAGAAGGTGAAAAGCATTTACATGGTTTCACTACAGTCTGAGAAATGCAACAACAGGATTACTTTTCCGTCCAGCTTCTTGCAACATGCTGAACAAAAGTTGTTGTCACTGTGGAGCAATATGTTTAAAATCTCTCATCAATACACAACAAAGAGCCACTAGGTTTGAAAATAATTCTTCCATCTATATTTGGAAATCAGATCCTTCTCAATCCATCTTTGATCATCAACATTTACAAGAGATAAATTACAAGAATATAATATTGTAAAACATCTCACTTCATGTGATTCTATAAGGAATTGCCTACAATCAGGCCACAAGGGTTTTAGGACTACCTTGTTTTACAATCTACTGAGAAAATATACCAGTGAACCGCAAACTCCAAGCAAAGTTTTCAAATCCTCGGACATCCATGACAAAGTCAGTTGACATAGATAAGCCCAGACCCATACTGAAACAGTCAATAGATGAAGCCATAAGCAGAGGCATTAAATGCCTGTGCTCCTGCAGTTCTGATCATAACTACAAACGAAAACCCACCAGGTCATCCAGACAAGGAAGAAAGTACAAAGGATCACTGAAACAGCAATTAAATTGTCTTTTGATTCAGAGACTTATTTTATTTTCTACTCTAGAGAAGTTCAATTTCAGTACTCCTAAGAAACTCTAGATTCGAAAAGGACTCCACAGGTCTAAGAACTTCAAAACAATATGGAACCACAGTTTAGATCACCAGTCTCAAAATCCATGAATTGCTGGAAATGGAATAAAAAAATTAAGCACCAGATATGAACACAAGAGAGAGAGACGAAATAATATGGATAGTAAGGCATTGATTGGAGTTGTAGTTTCATTTGTGTCAGCTATATTCCATAAGATCTCATATGCGGCAAAACAAAGAATGTCGTTAAACTAAAGGTAGTAACACTTATAAACTTCGGGAGCATGTATTTCTGTTTGTTTTCATTTTCTTTCAGCAAAGAATACAGCAGATAACAATGCAAATAACAATCACCTAGTAAACAACACACGGCTATTAGTGTTGGCCAAAACTGCAGTCTTTATGCAATCTCCAATCTAGTTCCCACTTCTGCCTCCTTGATTTTTGCTATTCTACACACAGGTCATACCGATGTCAAAAAAGATGAAGAAACTAATAATAGAAAATCATTTAAAGAAAGCAATAACTTTATTGTCAATAATTTGGCCCCATGTTACCTCTCTCTAACATGGTGAACATCCTCAAGAATACTAAGCGTATGCCGCACCTTTTCGTTTTCTACATTCTCCTTGCTTTCCAGCATCAGCTTGGAAAATTTTAACAAGGTAATAAGCTCAACTTCAATTTTGCGAAGCTGACCATCTACTTGCTCCAAGAAGTCCTCGTAGGAGGATACTTCCAGCAACTTGTGGGCCACATCAACTTCATTTTTAACTTTGCCATCCACAGATCCCTCAATTAGCTCATTGTCAGAAGGCTCTCTCAGACTCTCAGCTCCGATTCTTAAGTCTTCTTCGAGAGCCACATTTGAGGAAGTTGCCGCAAACTCATCATTTCCATTGGCACTCTCTTGAACTTTCTCTTTTGGAGATACAAATATGATGGGGCTGGGTTCTGCATCCCCACCCATGTTAAGATCTATAGCAACATTCTCTATTAGATCATTTTCCTTGACTGAAATCACCTAAAAATAAAATGTTGACTCAATTTAATCGAAAGGGAGCATAAACAACTACGAAAAATCCAAGATGATGTCCACAAGAAAAGCAGAAAGCAGGAGAAAAAAATTTCAAAAAATGTCCAGTTAAAAGGTAATTCAGGTGTAGAATGTGAAGTGATAGCCTTTTGGAGCATAAACTAGAGAACACCATCGAAAACGGAGCATCAGGGATGACCAGATCTATTTGGCTTAGGGAACTGGGTTTTCTCAATAGCTATAGAAATTCTTCCAGCGTCCAACCCAACTACGCACAACATAATAATCACCTCATTCAATTTTGCAGAAAGCTCATCAAGCAATTCAATGCGATCTTTTGATTTTTCCATGGCCTCCATAACTTTCTTCTTTTGAAAAAGCAACTCCCTAGCTTCATTTTCCTTGCCATTTCGAACATTTACAGCAGCTCGATGTCGAAGATTTTCTGCAGCCTCAGACAACCGCATCAACCTCAACCTTGCACTATTTGCTGGAACAACAACCAGTTCCCAATCGTTAACTCTATAACAAAAAGGCCAAGTGATTAAGTAAAAGGCGAATGCAGTGGCAACAGAAAATTAACATAAAATTGGCCTGTAATTCAAGATAAAGTAATCCTCATCAACAGCATTCATTCACCCTTCAAGCAGCCATTTTTTTCCAAATTCCTACAGAAGATTAAATTAACAGAAGCTTGGAAACTAGAACAAGACAAAAGCTTCACTAAATTTCCATACGCAACCCATATACCAGAAACCTAATTCATCCCCATTTTTGAGACTAGTAATGGAGCGAAATTGTAGCGCCGGTCAATTACAACTTTCTTCTCTTACTCATACGACCCAATTCAGGAACATACCAAAAGTACTAAAAAATTTGTTCAAAGCATAAAGAGCTAAAGTGTATATAGCCAGATACCGAACGCCTGAAGGCTGAAAGGCGGAATAGCTAAACGAACTAACGATCAAAGGAAAGACATTTTTATTTTTTATTTGTTTGAAAAAAAAAAAAAAAAAGGGAAGTTAACCTTTGGCTCTGGTGGTTTGTGCTTCCTTGTGAAGAGTGTCAAGTTGTAATCTAAGTTGCTCTGGGTTGATTCCAGAAGCGAAGCATACTGTCCTTCTTATTGGAAGCTTTGTAGGGACCAAAACGGAGGGAAATTTCAGTATCATCTTCAGATTGCAATCTCGCCTTCACATAATCAGGCTATGAGATAAGCAAATTTGAAGGAATCCGTCCTATGGTTTGTTTATGAGTTTTTTGTTTTTAAGTTTTAACAGTAATAAGGAGGAAAAAGTTGGACGGAATTGTTATTGTTATTATGGTTACAAAAACAACCATACATTTGTTACAAACTTAAATTATTAATTTTTCTTACATATTCATGTAGGTCAAATACTCAAATTTAATTTATTTTTAGTATAAAGGTTAACTACCATTCTTTTTGAAAAAAAAAATCATCAATCCTATACCAAAGCATACATGTACCCTTTTCAAAATATATATATATATATATAGATACACCAAAGCATAAACAAATGTACTTGAAGGTTTTTTTCATAAACGATATTAAGTTCTTTGAAATCTTAGCAAAAGTAAGTAGGAGAACGAGGGAAAATATTATGAGCTCTACTTATGTAACACGAACTTATCAACAAAGAGTTAACAAGACCTCAAATATCTTTCATCATTGTAGCCTGAGATGAGTGATCAATAAAAGTATTGTTAATTACTTTGAATCGAAAGAGTAAAATTCTCTTGAATTAAAAAATTTGTCGCACCTAAACATCGATTTAATATAAGTTCTAGAGGAAAAAAAAATGCTTATGATAATAATTACAATAATATATTAGTATGTGTTTAGAAACAACACAATTATCTTAATCATCATAGAATTAGTATTTTAATTGTTTAAGATAAGATATTTTAGAAAGGATGCTTTTAATACTAACATATTAAAAATGTAAAATTTATTTTTATATAAAAAAATAAAATACAATAAATTGGAAATGAAATGGAAATGGATGATGTTGGAAATGTAAAAGAAACCAACGACTCTTCCCTCTTCGCTCTTCTTCCTTTTATTGTTGTCTCTTGTCATCTTTACTGAACAAAGTACACTTCTGAGATGGATAAATGATAAACCCATATCCTCAAATTCCAGTCGCTTACTCTCGTAAATCTTTGGAAACTCCTTCAGGAGCATAAGGTATCTTTCTTCAATCGACCATACACCTTTTCGGTGCTGTTTCTTTTTTAATGCTTACTTCACTGAATAGAATGAATTACTTGCTTTTTTGCTGCCAAAAAATATCTGCACGAGTGCTTGTGTGGTGCTTGATAAAATATCCCACCGGCAGTAAATTTTTTATTAGCTTAACCCAATGGTAACATTAGATTTCTTCTTTAAGTTTATAGTTTTAGTGCTGGAGCTTGTGCAAAGAAGCTACTTCTTGTCCGCCCCTCTTGTTGGTTTGATTTTTTTATTTCAATCTGTTTAACAGAAGACTGATATCATTTTAAATGCGGTGCATATTTAGTCTCTGAAAATTGAATTGTAAAACAATTCTTATAATAACTACTCAAACGGGGTAATGCGCTGTAAAGATTTTTGAGCTGGAAACCATTGGCAATAGTTTGTCTATTGCTATGTTGTCAAAAAGTCTGCAAATTGTTGAATTCCTCATAAAATAAGTATTCAGATATTCTAACAGAACTTGGGGTTCTAAGATTTTCAGAATGTGTTTCAGAGCCGGTGTAATCAACCTTGAACTAATCAACCGAGGAACCCTGTCCTCGATTGTGTTCAAACGCATCTTTTCTTAGTAAAACCACATCTTTTTCTTTTGCACGTCTTAGTAAGAAACCCACATTTACATTTACTTGTTTCCAGGTGAAAAGGCAAGTATTGGTTTTTGTGATTATATTTCTTAAATTTGGTCTGCCTTCGTGAAGTTATTTGTTGATCATCTGTATGGAATTTTGTTGGCTTGATTTTTTTTCATATTAGATCAGATGTATTTTTGACTGTGAACTCCTCCCCAGATTTAACATTATGGTAATGATGTGTTGAGTGTGTCCTTGGTGTTATTTACTGAACTGCTTATGCTTAGTACTCGAAGGTAAGGGTCAACTTTCTTCATTCATTTGCCAGAGAATTATTGAAATCTAGTACCTGCCAGAACAGTAGTTGAGTAGAAAGACCAAATAAATTACAATGCAGTAATATAAAACTGTCTATAATGGGTCTAAATTAATTTCATCCCAGCAGAAATGTGGCTGGATTACTTTCCTTCTCTGCTGTTTGTTACTGAGCTATGTTACCTGTGTCAATGGCCGTCGTTCTTTCGTCTCTTAGTTTTGAAGCCATGCTGTAATAGATCATGTCTCCAAAACGAGTGAGAATGAAGAAGTTACTGTTCTTTCAACGGACTAAACTTTCTTTGCTGCATTTTTTGTAAGATTGGCTATGTCTACTTGATGTGGATTACTTCAGGCTTTTGAGTTTTTTGTTGGCTTTTGGAAATATCAGAATTTATTTTGCTTTTACTTTGCTTTAGGGAAAAAAAGGTAAAGTATCAGGGCCTGAATTTTTAAAATTTGAATGAAGATATGTGTGTTGACCTAGCACGATGACGACATATAGGCAGTCCCACATAGGGGGATAAAGGCATCTTGTTTTTTGTTTGTTTGTAAAGTAACAATTCTAAAGATTTCATGAAAAAGTTACAAAGAAGTTGCTTGAATTTTAAAATACGAGTATGTCTGCCTCTAAATACAATTACTTTATTTTCTGTCTTTGTAGATTTGAAGGGACACATTTGGGTTGAAAGAGATAACAAACAGAACTTTAGAGATTCAAGGCACTTTGGAAATAAAACAAACAAAATAAGTTTTTTTTTTTTTTTCCCAATTTGCTGGCCAAACTGTACACAGAAGTAGCAGAAGTGCGGTGAATTCCATCCATATTTCCCTCTTCTCTCCGCTGCCGCTTTTCTGTCTACTGCGTGAAGGGCCAAAATGCTTTCACATTCTGTGATGGCAGCAGGAGCAGGAGCTTTATCATGCCTGCCAATAAACCACAAAATTGGCGGAAAGATACCCTTTAACCTTCAGCTTATAAATAATCATCAAAGGACTCTGAAATTTGGGATGGTGGTGAGAGCAGGTGGATACACTAGGGTGGCTTTGGACACACCTGGGGCTTATCAGCTTATCAATAATGAAACTGGAGAGAAATTTATTGTATGGGGTGGCGAGGAAAATGAGCCTCCTGACTCTCCTATTCCCCCCGAGCAGGTTCTTTCTTGGAAACCTGTTTCAAATAGAAGTAATAGAGGAGATTCAGATGGCAATACAGGTTTTTGCAATTATTTTTCCCTCTTTTCTATTTCTTTAAGTCGAATCTTTACTCACATATTACTGAATTTATTGGGATTACTGTTAGCATTGAGTTTCTTAGAGGAAGGAGTATATTTTATTAATGAAATAATGATAAACGAAAAAGGAAGGAGAATCGAATTCTGTATGTTTGAATTAATAATTCACGGAAGTAATTAGGTGGTAGATTACAAGTGGTGTTGTGTCCTGAAGAAAGCTCCAATGTTTAGTTTAAGTTGAGCAGATGTAATGGTAGCTTAATGGGATGATATCAGTCAGTTTGAAGATATTTTACTTCCTTCAAAGTGTATCAACTGGGGGTTGCAATTTCTTCTTTTGTGCTTCAAGGTAGAAAGGAAGACAAATAGACTATTGGACAGGTGAACACGACAGTGTCTGTTGCAATATACTTTATGCAGAAGAAAATGTTGATCATAAGAATTGCTATAAACTGGTTGTCAGGTTTCGAGTTTAGATTTGCCAACTTTTTCGGCTGTGTTAAGAGTTTTTGTTGTTCTGATATAGATTGTTGAATAAGGACAAAACTCAAGCACGGTCATCACCTGATATAAATTTGGAGTATCATGTCTACTCTTAGTTTGTTGATTAATGTATTTCTGGTCTCAAGCCTGGAATTCTCAATTTCAAAAACCCGAGATGAAGAGGGTTGTCTCAGGTTTACAGCGTGCATAAGACTTTTTCTTTCTCCTGCTAACTTTGTTGTTTTTATGGCTGTTGATAAGGACATATCCTCATAGAAGCTGCAAAGTCCATTCGCCTCTCTGAGGGGCCTGATGATTTGTTCATGTGATTGTGTGTTAAATTTTCTCTAGCATTGAGAATCGGATTCTGCTTAATATTGAAAAATGTTGTTTTTGAGGTCAACATATGTGGGTATCAGGTCTACATCCTCATAACTAAAAAACAAAAGTAGAGAATGTATGGGAAACAATAGAGACCACTTTGTGAATTTCATCTTTGCCTTACCGGCTGTCTAGCTAGGTTACACGGAGATCTAGTATTCAAATTGTAGTTTTCCTTCCGTTTAAATGTATCTGCTACTCATTAATTGCTTGAAGTTGAATCATTTGGTATGATTATGTGGTGTTAGATAGATGCTGATGTTAGATTCTTGCAGTATCACAATTATAAATCTTTTCTTCTTTTGCTGTTAAATACTCGAGTTGCCATAATCCATTGGTAAATCACTAAAGTGATCACAATCATTTGGAAGACTCTTCAATGGCAGATTGATTGACTGCTGTAATATTTCTGAATACTTTCTTAATTGGGTTTTTGATTGTGTGAGTGATTGAACTACAGGTAGTGGAGAACCTACTAGAAGTTTTGGCAGATTGAAAGCTCAAAGAGTAAAAGATCTTGCCAGAAGAATCCATAAAAAGATTCAAGAAACCAGTGACCTTGATTATGTAGAACAGAATACAGACAATAGATATAGTCAAGTACGTAATATTCATTTCCTATTTCTTTCTTTTTTTTTCTCATGATGTCAAAATGTTAAATGAAGTGCCATGCATTACAGGAAACCAGAGATGTGATGCAAAAAGTATCAAATAGGGGCAAGGATGACATAGATCGATTTCCAAAAAACCGAGTTGCATCAACAAAAAACCAATTCTCTGACATTGCATCCCCGGGAGTAGAAACCTCTGCTTCAAGAGGATCTTCCAACCCCTTAAGAGGATGGGGAAATGCAGAGCCAAGGGACATATATAGGCAGGACGACATTTCCCGGAAAAGGAAGAATTTAAAGGATAGTGGTATTTTCTTCAGTAGAAAATCCTTCAAGGATATAGGATGCAGCAACTATCTGATCGAAACGTTGAGGGGCCTGCTTTTTCTACGCCCCTCTAATATTCAGGTATATCAATCTTTTAGATAAGGTTCACTTCCATTTACACCATCTCTCTCGCTTTACAATAATTCTTGTCAGATAAATGTTAATGTCCCTCGTAAATATAATATTTCAAGTCTCTGAGTCTCATGCTACTTCGCTTTGCATCATTAGAAGAGCATCACTTACATTCAATTTTCTTAAAATGTCTAGAACTGATTCTAGACAATTTAGGGTTTCTCCCTAATTTCCTTTCTCAGCTGTTATATTCGTCAGCCAAAAGGGTGGAAGCTCGTTAAAGGGTTGCTATATTTTATTGAATTCTTAGTTTCTTGCATTTATGATTAGCGAATCATCTGCTGGAAAAAGATGAGCGGTTCTAGAGTAGCCTTTCCCTCTGGTTTGTGGAACTAAGACGTCCAGATTAAATTTTTTCAATAATTACTTCCTTCAGTATTTTCCCAACACTCATACTTGTCATCAGTTGTGTGAATGAATTTTCTCCTCCACTTTATGGGTTTCTTATTGCCATTCCTTTGATACAGTAACCTTTTTCTTTGATGCAGTAACCTTTGAATCTGATGTTTTTATGTGCTCCATATTATTGTTACACTATTATCATTTTATTTTCTACAAACTATATGGATAATCATAGCTAGAGGTGCCCTTTGAATGGTTATTCTCTGTTGAATTAATTTCTCTGATTTTGTCTTTAAAAAAAGATTCTTCTGGATTTGTTTCTTATAAATATTGATGTCAGGCCATGGCATTTGGACCTGTTGTTGAGGGTAAGAGCTGCATAGTCGCTGATCAAAGTGGGTCAGGAAAAACTTTGGCTTATCTCTTGCCAATTGTTCAACGTCTTAGAGAGGAAGAGCTCCAAGGAGTTAGCAAGCCAGTGCCAAACAATCCACGGGTTGTTGTACTGGTTCCTACCGCTGAGTTGGCATCGCAGGTAGCTGCTTATCGTTGAACTTTTATGTGATTCGGTTTATTTTCCTCTCCCCGCTTTGTTTGATGTCTCCCGGTTATGTTGTTCTCTGGCTGTTTTTGGATTTAAAATTAACTTCATTTACCTGTCCTTGAGGGCCTTTTTACCATCAACCTTCCTTTTCCAAAAAAAAACCATCAACCTTCCAAATGATGTTCAGTGGGTATCTGAAGGATTCTTTGAAAAATTTTCGTCTTTTTCTTTCTCTCGGATGTTGCTTACCATGGATATTCAATCATATGTTCATGCTGGAGAAGTTGATTCGGAAATTCAGTGTGAAACCATCATATTGTTTACTCATATCATTGTATTAGATTACAATTAGCCAAATGTAAATAAACCAAAGTGGAACAAACAAATTTCTAAAATCAATGTCTTGGCTGGATTCAATAACCTGGTGCCCAAAAAAAAAAAAAAAAAAAACCAAATCTTGTCACATGTACGGAATTTGCAAACAATATGATGGGAACAGTTGCTAATAGTATGACAGTTTTCTCCAAATTTCCTTATTTCCCGCTTCTTACATTCTCCCTGTACTTCTGTGTCCTCCCTACCGAACTCCCTGGATGGAAAAGAAGGAATCTCAGTGACATCTTTCTTTGCTCAATTGCTATCCCCGTTTGTATCTTCACACTAGTACCCTATCTTTTGCAGGTATTAAGTATCTGCCGATCAATATCCAAGATGGGTGTTCCATTCCGGTCTATGGTTGCAACAGGTGGATTCCGCCAGAAGACTCAACTAGAGAGTCTAAAACAAGAGCTAGATGTTTTAATAGCTACTCCTGGAAGATTTATGTTTCTAATGAAAGGAGGGTTCCTGCAGCTATCGAATCTCAAATGGTACGTAAAACATAGTGCAAGATGTTTGCTTCTAGCATTTTCTTGTGTAAACAGTGGGTCTGTCTGTTCCATAGCCTTAATATCTTTAAATTGAATAAAAGCACGTAGGTCATCCCATGGTTAAAGTTTCTGTTCTTGTTGAATGAAATCAGATTAATCTTCTTTTTTTTTTTTTTTGGTCTTATGTATGCTGTTTCGAGTATTGTTAACTAACAAGGGAGATCTGTAGATGCAGTCGCTGAAATTATTCTATAGAGGATCATATGTCTCCTCTTCTTTCTCATTTCTGCTTTCTGGTATTGTCAATCTAATTTCATCATTATCATCTCATTTCACTTTTGCCCAACTAAGAAGGAGATAATAAAAATTTGTTCAAATTTCTATCTTATCACAACATTGCACCAAGGATGAAAAAGTTTCCATCTCTTGGATGTTAAGTAAACTCGTTTCTTGTGTTTCAGTGCTGTACTTGATGAGGTAGACATACTGTTTAATGATGAAGACTTTGAGCTTTCATTGCAATCTCTGATGAACAACTCGCCCATTGTGACACAATATTTGTTTGTGACGGCAACTTTGCCTGTTGATATATATAACAAACTGGTTGAGGCTTTTCCTGATTGCGATGTTATAATGGGACCTGGAATGCACCGTACTAGTCCCGGCCTTGAAGAGGTACGTTGTTATCTTGTGTCGCAATTTTTCCAACAAATCCGGAGCTACCTCTATAATTACCATGCTTTAGTGCGGAATTACTGAACATTATGGAGAATTTCATTTTATTTTTACTTCCAAATTCCCTTGGTATTAATATGGTATTGAAATTGGCAGATTCTCATAGATTGCAGTGGTGATGACACTGTAGAGAAATCTCCCGAAACGGCTTTCACCAACAAGAAAAATGCTCTGTTGCAATTATTGGAGGAAGATCCAGTGACTAAAACTATTATCTTCTGTAACAAAGTAAGTTTGCAGCTATGATATCTCCAGTTGCTTGCTTTATATTGGTGGCCTTGCAGATTACTCATTCATGGAGGTTCTACTATTTGCTTTATACAGATAGAGACATGTAGAAAAGTTGAAAATGTGCTTAAACGATCTGATCGAAAAGGATCTATGATTAGAGTATTGCCGTTCCATGCTGCTCTGGATCAAGAAACACGGCTCGCAAACATGACAGAGTTTCGTGGCTCTGTTAAGGATAATACATCTTTATTCTTGGTGTGCACCGACAGGTATTTGTTCTCAATTGTCGATTGCACACTGGTTTCCCCCTCTGCCGTTCCAACTTGTTGATCCTGTTCATGAGATTCTATTTTCTGATTGTCTGACTTCATCTTGCTTGAAACTAAACTGTCAATGCACCTCTTTCAGGGCATCCAGGGGAATTGACTTTGCAGGCGTGGATCATGTAGTGCTCTTTGATTTTCCTCGTGATCCAAGCGAGTATGTGCGTCGTGTTGGGAGGACCGCCAGAGGCGCCGGCGGGAAAGGGAAAGCTTTCATTTTTGTGGTTGGTAAACAAGTTTCTCTTGCACGTCGGATAATTGAAAGAAATAAGAAAGGACATCCTCTGCATGATGTGCCTTCTGCGTATGAATTGATGGGTTAGACAAACACATATGCAGTACAAAGGCATTATCATCGACCTTGTGTAAAATAACACGCTGACTGGAAATTTTGTGGACAATGACAAGTTAGGAAATAGTTAATTGGCATTTCCTTCCGTCCCAAAAACATAGTATCCTATATTTTGTTGTAGTAACGTAGTTTATGCAGCTGATATGAATTTCTCTATAGCCCAAATGGTATTACTATTGTTCAAGAAGCATCTTCTACCAGTGTACAAAAACTGCAAAATATCTTAAACGAATACATATCACACTCGAATTATTTCTTTTAAAATGACAATTGTGTTTAACATTCCATTATGATCTCACTCTTCCGTCACTCTCTTAAGTTCATTAATTTATGAGCCCAACTTTTTACACAACATGCCATATGACAAGCGTAGTAAAATGATTCAGGAGACACTAGTTATGGTATCGCCATTTGTTTTGGCACCACAAAATTCAAATTCTTTGGAAAATGGTGATGATTCAACTGTTAGACTAGGGTATATTATGCTATAAATTGGAAAAATTCTTGGGTGAGTTTCGGTGGGGAAATGGAATCTAGTTTTTGATGTTTGGTTGGCGCATTTGAAATTGGTGGGAATAGATTAATATCTAATTATTTAGAAATCTTATAAACTCACCAAGGGATTGGGTTTTGATCTGATTCCTGACTTTGCAACTTCTTTTCTTGAAGTCTTTATTTTCTCATGGTATTATATTGTGTATAAATTTATTATTAAGTCATAAAAATAATTTTTCTTAATTATAAACTCAAGTTTTTTCTTTTTGAAACTTTTAGTCAAATTTAAATTACCAATATTATTAAATGAAAAATTAAATTGATTAGCATATGATTCGAATTGAGATTGAAAGTTGGAATTTGTTTATCGCATTAAATTTGATCTTGAAAAAAGAGTTATTGAGATTCAATCAAACTAATTTTTTTTTTTTTTACAAAAATCATAACGTAAAGTAGTCTAGTTGATTTAATAAAAAGATTTATTAACTTTTGAAAATTATAGTAGTTAAATTTTGTACAATTAATTGAATGCAAAAAATAAAATAATACCTAAACATAATTATAGAACTTATAACTGTTTTGGAATGAGTACGTCGATAGTAACTCTTTCTTGTTATCATCCCTAACCTCGCAGTCAAACCTAAAAAAATTGCAAATACATATATCTAGGAGAAGAAAAGGAGAAACATAATGAATAGTATGACAGTTTAAAAATTAAGGATAATTAGCATCGATTATGTTGGGGCTATAAGGAAAGCGTGGAAATCAAAGATGAGATAAAGTACGACAAAATGTGTAAGGACACTAAAAACTTTCTTCCTTGATGTAATAATGTTGCTTGTAAATAGGTAGGGAGGGAGTATTGTGCCTTATGTGTAACAAGTGTTTTTTCCCCTGTTTTTGTTGTTCCTCCTTTTATAAAACGTTTTCAATTGCTTACAAAACATACTCCAATATCCATTTCGACATCATTAATAATAAATGTAATTATTTTCATTAAAGTCCGTATGAAAAATCTAACTGCAGTTTTTTTTTTTTTGAGAAATAAAGAAAAATTCATTAATTCACTAAAAATCATTTAGCAGCGATTGATAAAAATAAGATACAACCATAAAAACATAATTTACAAACGGTCATAATGTCATTTTTATATTTTTATAAAAGGAAGATAAAAATACGTACATGAAATGTGAATAATTTTATCTCCAATCAGCCCTCCCATTCAGGCATTTTTACCGTATCGGTGCCTTGTCAGTGGTGACTCAGTGCATGAATCTCCTCACCAAAAAGTTGATAAGCTCAATGCCCTCCAAGTTGGCCGGCCCAGACAGCCAGCCAATTTGTAGCATATACTAATTAATATTCATTCGGGCAGATCAACTTGGCTGCCCGTCTATCTATAGCAACCTTCCCGAACTGCCCGTCAGAAACCCTAGCTACCACTAGAAACCCCCCTCAAAGGTCTGTATATATAAATGTGAGACGAAAACTCGAAAGAAGTGGTGGAAAGGGTTTTGACTCGTTACTTCTCTTCCCCCCCTTTTTGGTGTGCTTTCATTTCAGAACTTCTATTAGGTTCACATTCATTTGCATTTGAGTTTGTATTTCCGTAGTCACTTCCGAAAGAGTATTATTCTCATTCTTTCTATTTTTGGTAACTAGCTGTTACTGCCGAAGTGGTGAATGAAAAGGTCTTTTGAAATCAAGCAACCAAAAGTCTCAATTCCTCAGTCGCAAGTCTTTCTTTGTTTTCTTTAAATTTCTTTCTTTCTTCTTGGGTTTTAGTTTACATGGAAAAGGGGACTACTGAATTATTATTATTATTAATGGCTGATGAAATTAGACTTCCTACTTCTACAAGAGGTAATAATATCGTGGTATTATTTTCGATTTTTTTTTCTCGAAGTTTTGGATTTAAAAAAAAAAAATAGTTTAAAGGATAGCGTTTAGAAATATTATTTTGAGATAATTGTGCAAAGCTTCCATCCGCATGCGATTTCGTAATGACCACAGCGGCCATATTTTGCGCATAGTGAAGAACAGAAAGCATATGCCTAGTTTTCGAAGCATAATGCTTTCTTGCTGTTTCTTAATTAGTGGTTGATCTTGATTTTGCCAAGTTAACCGCTTTTTAGCTTCAGCAGACAATTTTATTTTTTAATATATATATATATATATATATATATGTTCAGCTGTATTTTGGTAGTAGTAGTATTAAACTTCTTAATCGGATGAAACCGCATTGAAAATTTTTTTAGAAATTAAAAATAATAAAACTCACATAAAAACTTTTGCTTCATAGTATCGAGGTTTACCGGTAATACTGATTACTTGTTTGCTGAGTTAAATAGTTAACCACAGATTATATATAAGCCTTCTCTACTCTCTGTCTCTGACGGACTTTAAAGTTTAAACTCCGGTTTAATATTTTATTGTTAAGATGGGTGATTTCAGACCATACCATTTCCGTTGGAATTGCTCTTGGAAGCAAGGGAGTTGAGAATGTAGGCAAATTAACTTTAACCATGGTCTCATACTTGCAGCAAAGCAAACTAGAACCTCGGTTAACATTGGGAGTAGTGTAACGAGTTTTTGAATAAATTTAACATAATTTTTGAAATACAAGAACACAGAATGGAGATTTCGTCTAAAAAATAATTTAACCGTACACTTTCAGACAGTAGAATGTGAAGAACAAAATAGATTTTTTGGGAAAAAAAAACAACATAAGAGTAAAAAAATGTATGTTGTTCTAAAGTTTTGAACCGTTTGAGGATTTTTCTTTTTTCAAGGAAAAAAAAATTAAAGAAGAAGAAGAAGAAGAAGAAATTGGAGGTTTTTGCCTTTCTGATTTGTGCAGAAAAATGGGCTTGACAAAAATTTTGGGCTTTAAGAAAAAACCATGGTCATTAAGCAGTCCTCCAAGAACCAAGTTAATTTCCAGCCCACTATCTAATTTTATACGTCCTCCTCTTCAGCCGGCAGCCATCAACAAATATCGGAGGCCGCGCCACCAAATTTGGTACCTTGAAATTCATTGGCCTACAGGCTACAGGTAAACGTACATGACGATGGTTCAAAATTCCTAGTTCCGGTTCATGAACCGTCGATTCACGATTCAAAACGTTAATGAAGTTTAACCGACTCTTGAGTTTATAGTTACGGTTTAGGTTTGTGAAGCTCCCGTCCAGTTTTGCGTCAATTTTGGTCACTTTTTATTAACAGTCGTAATAGTCATAAAATTTCAAAAAATATTTAAAATATTCTAGAGTATTACAAATTATTTTAGACGTATAAAATACAGTGAAAATATGTACAATATTTTAGAATGGTTTAGAATTCTGTAAAATCTTCTGAAATCTTGTAGTATGTAGGACAATAATGTGGAATTGTCTTGAAATTTCTAAAGTAATGATAAGTTAATTTTCAAGAGTAACCTAGAAGTTTGGAGGTAATTCCTTTAGAGTATGTGGAGGAAACTTTTAGAACTTTAAGGATTTGCCTATCCCTCATTTGTATAAGTACAGAATTGAAAGGGTTTTAAACAAGTTGTGAGCTTTCTTTGAATCAGGTCAAGAATCTTTTTTTCTTTCTAAATTTTTCTTTCCAAAACTTGCAAATTTTGGTTTAGATAGGCTGAACTAGTATCACTTTTTACATTTGAATGAGCTAGTGCAATAGGAATTGAAAAATTTCTCTGTTGCGTCTCTACTTTCCAGAGGATCATATTAAGCGTATTCTCACAATTCATTTACACAAACCAATACACATGCCAAAGATAGCTTCTTTGGACTTTAGAAAGGCATGGCCAATATAGGGTAAAATCTGGATATTACCAGGCCACAAATCAAGCAGTTTAGTCTTCTCCATCAACATTAGCTCATCCATCATCAACCGAGAGACAAAGTCAGCAATGGAAGAAATTATGGTCTCTTAGATTACCGGCCAAAATACAGCACTTTAGCTAGAAACTCATGCATGGCAAATGTGCCTCTTCAGACCAATTGAGGAAAAGGGGCATGTCGATACCCTTCTCTGTATGGAATGCAATCATTTTGAAGAGACTGGCTCACATATTTTTATGGCATATGAAAAAGCGAAAAAAGATATGCTTTTTTTTTTTTAAATCAAAAGTTGGCTTTAACTTTCAAGAAGGAACGGCAGTTACAATCCAATAATGGCTCACATGTTGAATAAAAGAGGCACTAAACAGAGAATTGTAAGAAGAATCTCTAGTAATATTAAGGTATATCTGGAAAAACAGAAACAGATTGTATTGGGAACATCAGAGAGATACACCCTAAGAAGTCCTGGAGTATGCCATGGCAGATTATCAAAATTTTAGAAGAAGCTTGAATATAGCTCATCCGCAAGACGAGTTAAGCCAGCAATCTTTCCAACCATTGGCAAATGATGACCTGCCCTTGCCATTAATTTTTTATGGCGCCTTATAATCAAGACACACTCCAAGCAGCTGAAGCTTGGGCAATACACCTCCCAGACTCTGCATCCCCAATAACACAAATAGTTAAATTCTTGGCTCTTTCTGCCCTTTAAGCGGAAGCATACACTTGTTTAGAGGCCATCAAATATGCAATTCAAAACCGAATTATGGTGGACACAATAGGTACTGATTCAATCAATCTAGTCAACACTATTTGTAATCAAGTGAAAGCTTTAGTAGAGATCAAGGATATTGGGGATGATATTCTCTGTTATCAGAAATTATATAATGTCTATCGCCTTAGAAAAATTAACAGAAAGAGTCTGATGGTAGTGCATAATTTAGCTAA